TCACGGAGTAACCGCTCTGTCAGGAAATTCTTCCTAATGTTTAGCCAAAAACTCTTTTGATTCAATTACAACCCATTGGTTCTGATCTGACCTGGGGCACCAGAAAACAAATCCACACCCTCCTCTATATGACAGCCCTTCAAGTACTTGAAGACGGTTACCATATCACTTCTCAGTCATCTCCTCTCCAGACTAAACATACTGTTGCTGAGTGGCGTAAAGCTCCACGCAGGAATTGTTCAGTGTGAGGCCTAGATCAGGGCAGAGCATCCGTTTGGCGTACGGAAGACCGTAGGTTCAAACCCTGGTGCCTCCAGTTGAAAAGGATGCAAAAGACCTCTGCTGGAGAACCTGGGGAGAGCCACCGCCAGTCTGAGTAGACAGTCCCTCCCGACCGTGATGGACCAAGGAACTGATTCAGTATGAGGCAGGTTTGTGTGTTCCAGCAGGCCCTAATGGGTTAGCAGAAATTATATGCTGGATGACACCTTTGAGGGCTGGAAACCTTCCCCATGGCAGGCACGTGGCCTTTACAAGGCACGGCTAGAAACTTTCCAGACAGGTTGAGATTCTCAGAATGCCACGTATTTGAACACATTGACTCTGCAGGGGTGTGCAGTCCGGTTCTCTCCACCAGTAGGGGAAGGAGCAGCATGGAAATAAGGCACAGCATCTAATAGTTGGAGCAGAGAACGACCCTACCTGTGCTGTTCTCCTCCCAGCTCTTGATAGACTCTCACGCCCTCATCCTCCCCGGCAACATAGGGTAGAAATCAGGCCAGCGGGGAGTGGTGGGGCCTTACTCTCCCTGGCAGAAAGCAACTCTGCTCCTTCAGTGGGCGGAGTCCCAGCTTCCCGCTCAACCATTTCGGGGACTCACCACCTGAAGGCAGACGGGCTCAGTCGGCAGGACCTGGACCTCGGTGAGGGGCTCAGAATCCTGGAGTGTCGCGTGCCGTGGCCAGGAGGCGGAGCGTCCCTCGCCTGGTCCTCCTGGGCCAGAATTCCAGCACAAGGGGCACACTGGTGAAGTGTGCCCTTCCAACGTAGCCAGTCAGAGCTGGGGTTCAGTAAGACACCAGAGAAACAGCAGAGGAAATCTTCATCGTATCCCTCGGGCCCTGGTTCGACAGCCTGGTGGCGATGGCACAGCACTGGTGTTCCCTCTAAGCTGAGTTAGTGTGAGCTAGCGCAGTTTTTGAGCCTCCGGCTCACACATTTTTGTCTGAGCTCAGGAAGGACACCTCCAGAACAAGCTAACTTATGCAGGAGCCAAATTGCTTGCTCACAACTTTAATATCAGTAGCTCACAAAGTAGCATTGCACAGCACTCATTGGGGAGCATCCCAACGGGCCACAACCAATGCTCCCTCTAAGCTGTGGAGTTTTGTGAGCAAAAATTCTACCTTGGGAGCAACTGGCATTAAAGTTGTGAGCGAGCGATATGGCTGCTGCAAACTAAGTTTGCTCTGGAGCCATCCTTCCTGAGCTAAGACAAAAATGTGTGAGCCGGAGGCTAAAAAACGGTGAGCTAGCTCACACTAACTCAGCTTAGAGGGAACACTGGCCACAACCAATGTTCCCTCCAAGCTGTGGAGTCTTGTGAGCAAAACGTCTACTTTCTGAGCTACCGGCATCAAAGTTGTGAGCAAGTGATTTGGCTGCTGCATCAATCAGTTGGCTCTGGAGCCCTCCTTCCTGAGCTAAGACCGAAATGTGTGAGCCGGAGGCTAAAAAACGGTGAGCTAGCTCACACTAACTCAGCTTAGAGGGAACACTGGCCACACAACATCCTCCTGCAGGGTCCTCTGTTCCGTCCTGCTTTGGGATAGGCTCTGCCCCTTCCACGTGGAAGATGGAAGGAGGACACGGCTAGTCCGAAGAGGTCTTCAGGGGGTCTTGGCCTTTTGGAAACCCTCAAACCCATGAAAGCTACCAATCTACCACTGGCAGAACTGGAGGAAGAAAAGGAGCACGCTTTTCACCAACTCCAGGACGGAAGGCATCCAAACCGACTCTCTTTGGTGCCAGGGACTGGCCCTTTTGTGGGCTCCCTGTCCTGTTAGACCCCGTCACTTACAGCCCTTCCAAAGCGGAGCGGCCCTAGCCAGTCCCCATGTTCAGCATTTTTCTTTTTGTGGATTCTCTGCAGGGCGTGGAGAGTTCTACTCAACCCCCTTTTGAGCCCTTGAGATCAGCTACGCTGAAAATCCAGGCATTGAAAGTCGCTTCCTGCGCCCTAAACCTCAGCAGGGAGGGCTTCAGAGCTTTCTGTCCTTGAGCTCAGAGATGAGCTTGGCTCCCTTCCGGAGGATTTGGGTGACCTTGCACACCAACCCCTTTCTTCCCATCTGTTACCTCTTTGTTCCCACAGGGACCGTGACAGCTATCTGTTTTCAATCTGTAGTCATCTCAGCCCTCCTGTGGAATGGGTGTAGCGTAAGTTAGAGGTCCAGGGAACTCCCCATATCTACCTAAGAGGGGTAACAGCCTTCAAAGAGATGACTGCGGGAGGACATGATAGAGGTTTATAATATTGTGCATGGGGTGGAGAGAACTTTTTCTCCCTCTCCCAAAACATGAGAACTCGAGGGTGTCCAGTGAAGCCGATGGGCAGTAGGCTCCAGACAGACAAAAGGAAATACTACTTTCTGCAGAGAGTGATTAAAATATGGAATTCACTGCCGGAGGATGGAGGAAGTGGTGGGGCCTTACTCTCCCTGGCAGAATGCTCCTTCAGTGGGCGGAGTCCCATCTTCCCGTCTCCGAGCTCAACCATTTCGGGGATTCGCCACCAGAAGGCAGACGGGCTCAGTCGGCAGGACCTGGACCTCGGTGGTGAGGGGCTCAGAATCCTGGAGTGTCGCGTGCCGTGACCGGGAGGTGGAGCGTCCCTTGCCTGGTCCTTCTGTGCCAGAATTCCAGCACAAGGGCACACTGGCGAGGTGGAGGGGGAGGGTGCTTCCTCTGCCCCCAGGGCACAAGGGCCTCCTCTGTGCCCTTCCGGCATAGCCAGTCAGAGCCAGGGTTCAGTAGGGTACCAGAGAAACAGCAGAGGACATCTTCATCGTATCCCTCGGGCCCTGGTTCTCCAGCCTGGTGGTGATGCCTCGGCCTCCCTGCCCTGTTGTTGGCCCTCCAGAGGAACTGGTTGGCCATGTGTGAGACAGGATGCTGGACTATTGGTCTGATCCAGCAGGGCTCTTCTGATGTTAAATCTCTGGATTCCCGTTGACCATATTCTTACCCAAGAACAGAGGAAAGATGACATCATGGTAAAACTTACGTGGATGCATCAGGAGCCTGCCTTTCCCTTGCTTAGAGAGTCAATATCGACAGTTTCAAAGGTTACTGCTGGGGGGGGGGGTGTTTGCCAGAAGGGCCACTGCGTACACCACCCTCTCCATCAGTGTATCCATTGCCTGCCGAGGTAGGACGGTGAGTTGGCCTTTAGCCTGGTGAGGCAGGATCAACTAAACAGGTTTGCCTCTGCTGTGGCTCCTTCAGACAGAAATCTTCTCCAAATGCCGTTCCTTTTCCTCTCTCTTCAGTTTTTTCCTACTTGGGATAATAGAAGCTGTTTGTACCCATTCCTAACAAAGGACTTGTTTGAGTATCTTTCCAAAGCTTTGAAATAAATTTTGCTTTTCTGAAACGTGGATTTATTCTCGATGCTTGGGGATCCAACAGTAGCTCACAAAGTAGTAGCATTGCACAGCACTCATTGGGGATCATCCCAGTGGGCCACAACCAGAGGTCATTTCGGGGGAGGATCGCGGGGGATCGCAGTTCCCCCGGGTGAGTTTGCCTCTGCTGTGGCTCCTTCGGACAGAAATCTTCTCCAAATGCCGTTCCTTTTCCTCTCTTTTCAGTTTTGTTGTGTTTGCCCTGCCCATGGAAGGAGGCGGCGGCACAATTCGCACGAGGATACCGTCAAATCCGCTGATGAGGAGACACCTTCACGGTTGTTCCCGTGTTTCATCCAGCAGCTCTCAGTCACACGCAGAAGCCCGTTTACTGGCGGAGGAGGAAGTGGAAAGGAACTCCCTCCGTTAAAGGGGGCCACTATCAGGGCTTTCCTCATCTGTTTTTCCAGCCTTACTTACAGGTCTTCACTCGTGCATGATTGTGGGTCTGTCTCCACCTGAAGCCTGAGAAGCCATGAACTGGGGAGGTGGAGAGCAGAGACCTTTGTAAGAAAGTTGTATGTGCCCTGCCCATGGAAGGAGGCGGCGGCACAATTCGCACGAGGATACCGTCAAATCCGCTGATGAGGAGACGCCTTCACGGTTATTCCCGTGTTTCATTTTATGGGGGGTGGGCCTCATCCAGCAGCTCTCAGTCACACACAGAAGCCCGTTTGCCTGCCCAGGATGGAGACCTTTGGGTAATTGATGGTTCACTTACAGAGGCAGCCAGAAGGGCCATTACTTTTCCTTGTTCCCAGGGATCTTCGGATTGGAGACTATGGTGTGTGTGGCCCCCCCCCCAACTTGGGGGAGGGTCAGGGGAACATAAGAACATAAGAGATGCCAATGTTGGATCAGGCCAAAGGCCCATCCAGTCCAACACTCTGTATCCCACAGTGGCCAGAAATACCAGTGGCATCAGGAGGTCCACCAGTGGGCCAGGACAGAATTCGATCAGTCTAGGCTTAGTATTTATGACCATGGTGGATGTGAAGAAGAAGAAGAAGAAGAAGAAGAAGAAGAAGAAGAAGAAGAAGAAGAAGAAGAAGAAGAGACCATTCCTAGATCTACAGCATCCTCAGATGGCGAGATTGGATTTGTGCCCCACCTTTCACTACCCAAAGGAGTCTCAGAGCGCCTTACAAACTCCTCTCCTCTCCCCTCCCCTCCCCACATCAGATACCCTGTGAGGTAGGTGGGGCTGAGAGAGGTCTCTTGAGAACTGCTTGTGAGAGAACAGCTCTGAGGGAACTTGTGACTGGCCCAAGGTCATCCAGCTGGTTGCATGTGGAGGAGTGGGGACTCAAACCCAGTTCTCCCAGATTAGAGTCTGCGCTCCTAACCACTACACCAGACTGGCTCTCATGTGGTGCCTGCAGGCTCCCTGTCACTTAAATTGCAGCACGTTCAACTGTCAGCATCAACCCTTGAGGCAAATGAGCCAAAGTGAGTGCTAGTGGCAGAGAAAAAAGCGCAAATCCCTTCCCCGTTACAGCTGTAGCTTGCACGATGGGCGCCCACTAAATCTTTCCAACTCCGGTGATTTCCAGTAGTTTTGTCCAGCATGTTCCTCCTCTCCACGGTTGTCTGCCACTATCCAACTATGACTTTTCTATTGCAGAACTGGTCTAGACGGCCCTGTTTCAAACAGATGCTTGCCACTCCTTTTGCTTTGATTGATGCTGAGTGGAATGTTGGTGTACAGCTCAATTCAGTCTGTCTGTGGCGGGGTCCCCAGTGTGGGGCCCATGGGCGTCATGGTGCCCGCCAACACTTTTCCTAGCTCCCGCCAAGTGTTAGAAAGTGGGTGGGGCCAGGGATGGGGCTCCTGTCCAGCAGGGCTTTTGACTGGCTGTTGGAGATCTGATGGGGAATGACACACTTCTTTCCCCCCCAGCATATTTTAAGAAATTACTCCTCTCGTCCCCAGGGCTCGGGCTTCCTCTGTGTCTGGCTCTGCCTCCTGCAGGGGCCATTCTGTGGTGGCACCCACCACAGTATGTCAGAATTCCAAAGGTGCCCGCAGGCTCAGAGAGGTTGGGGGACCCCTGGTCCATGAGATACCCAGCTGGGCGAGAGATTTTGTTCTGCTCAGTGAATTTGCAGAACGTTTGGTCTTCCGACGTGGGCTCTGGGTTTCCACAGACAGGGGCGACTCCATTAGCGGCTCCAAGAACAAGAAAGGCCTTAAAAGGAGGGAGGGGACTCTCTGCCGCAGGCTGAGGTGAAGTCTGTTAATCCTGCCCTAATTTCTGCCGTAGGTGGTGGGCAGATAGAAGTGAAATCAGAGAAACTGGAATTCAAAGAGAAGGTGCAGTCGAAAATTGGGTCCCTCGATAACATCACCCATGTTCCTGGAGGAGGAAATAAAAAGGTAAGAGCTAACCTCTTCTGGGTCTCCGTGGAGGGGAAGGCCTCACCAAAAGTAGTAGGAGCTGAGAGACTGTGATCTCTCTTTCCGCTCCCCTCTGTGGCTTGGGGCCCTGTATTAACCCTTGTAGAGACCCCAGTTCTCAACAAGTGTGGTTCATTAACTTGTCTAATGCCCACTAGCAGGGGTCATTTCGTAGAAAAAGAGGTGCAGGAGCTCATTAGCATAACTCATTAGCATTACTTATTTGCATATGCCACACCCCCTGACATCACCGGAAGAGTGTCAGAAGGCAGCACCCACCACTCAGGCTCCACTGGACTCTTTTGGATTGCTAGCTCAGCTTACCTGGCTGCTTCTTGCTCTGACTGTGGGCTGCTGGGAGCAGGGGGTGGGGCTTGTTGCATGTGCCCGCCCCCTGGGCTCTTTACTGCCGGAGCTCCGCTCCTGTGCGCCCCTGCAGGAAATGACCCCTGCCTGCTAGAGATCTTGGCCAAACCGGGAAGGAGCCTTTGCTCAGGGGCTTTCCTCTACATCTTAACGCCCGAAGTCACATTTTGGAGCTGGGCTGCTGACCTCTCCCCCAGTGAGGGCAGTTGGGAGAAGTAAAGTTGTTTGCAGAGAGTTGGGTTTTTTTTCTTTTCTTTTTGGGGTATTAAAAATGCATATTTTTCATTTAATGTACAGCTGGTTCCTAGAGCGGCAGCAGTTGTTGAAAGGGATGGCTAGAATGTTTTGTTGGTTTTTTTAATCCTCTCTAACTTTTCAGTGTTTGGGCAGGCTCGGTCCCGCCCTGTCTAGAGCATCCCCCTTCAGACCCATGTGCATCCAAAGAGGCAGTGGAGGGGTACAGAGAGAGGTTGCTACCCATGGAAAGTCCTGTGGCTGGCACCCACACGTACTCCTGTCCCAGGCCGAGCTCAGGGGAAACTCAGGGAGCGGAGGCTGGCTCTGGGCTGTCGGGTGGCCGGGGGGGGGGGGGGGGGGGGCTTCATTCTCTTCCTGCCCCGACCTTTCCCCAGAGCCACCTCCTCTCCTTTCCTTTATTCTAGACTTCATGCTCACAGATGCTCACAGACCAATGGGTCATCAGCAGACAAGTTTGACAGTTCATATGGTACAGAATAATACAATCCAAAAATACAGAAAATAACCCAAGCGACCAGAAATGCAAAGTACAAGGAATATAATATCCCATTACGGATTGTGTTTCTGGTGGCACTTGGGACATGTTTTTTTAAAGGCAGCCAGTCTGAAGCATTGGCGGGGGGGGGGGGGGGGGGAATCCAGCAATTGAATCAGTCTTTGAAGGGTAAGCAGGCATGTTTGATTGGCAGTCTTGGGGGGGGGGCGAAGTGGGCTCTCCCAGCTGGATCAAACCCCCTGAGATGGCTCCTGCCGTAAGGAATACTTGTCTGCACACACACCCCAAAAAAGAAAGAGGCGAGGGCTCCAACCAGTGTTCCCTCTAAGCTGAGTCAGTGTGACCTAGCTCACAGTTTTTTAGCCTCTGGCTCTCACATTTTTGTCTCAGCTCAGGAAGGATGGCTCCAGAGCAAACTAATTTTGCCAACTCACTCACTCACAACTTTAATGCCAGCGGCTCACAAAGTAGAAATTTTGCTCACAAGACTCCACAGCTTAGAGGGAACATTGGCTCCAACGTGTGAAATGTGTGTGTCTGGCAGTGATTTCTCTGCTGCTGCGTGAGTTTCCATAGCCAAGTCACATGCCTGATCCTCCTGTGGTTCTTCTCTACGCTGGGGAGCCCTCTCAGGTGTCAAGGCCCCGCCTTGTTGTCCGGCTCTTTGAGAGACTGAAGGAGTGGGAGAGGCTTCCCAAACTGGACTAAGAAGCCGCCGGGGGATTCCCTTGCTTACAGACACACACACCCCGCGCCCGACCTGCTTGCAAATGGGCACCGAGGCCAGAAGGATCAGGGGAGCCCCTCCTCTCCGTCAAGGGCAGCCCCTAGAAAAGGAGTCCCGAACCGGCCCAGGCCTCCTGTCCTGCTGCTGGCCCCTCCTCAGGGAGGTGCACATAAGTCAGGCCTCTGGATCAGGCTCCTGAGCCATCTTGGAATGGCCGACTTTCCCCCTGGGTGCCGGAGCTCCGCCTTGACCTGCCGCTGGATGTGTTCCCCGACACAAAAAGCTCCCAGCTGCCACCAGTGGTACGAGAACGGTCCCCGCTGCTTCCGTCTTTCCCAGTCCAGAGTCCTGCACTTTTGGCACGATGGTTTTGAAACGCCTGTCTGTTTTGAACCCGGGGCGTGCTCTCCGGGGATGCCAGCCGTTCCTTTTTTCTCTCTCTCTCTCTCTGTCTGCATTTGCCTCATCTGTTGTGCCTGCCTCGGGGAGGGAGGCTCTTCTCACGCACATTTCAGCCCTTTCCTCTCAGACGCATCTCATCGTAATAACCTCGGAAAACTTTCTAGCTCTCATTGGCTCCTTCCAGTAAGTGCGCTGGCTTCTGATGGGAGAACTTCTCTGCTTCCTTATCCTTCTCTCACTGCCATTCACACATCCTCTGGACCTGAGCATCCTTCTGAGCATCCTTCCACCTCTCTTTGCTCCTCCTTTCTCCTGTCTGCATTTCCTGGACCACAGCAGGACCATCTTGGGTATCTGAGGAAGAAAGTTGCTTTCAGGGTCCATGAGCCGGAGTGGACGTAAACACGGCTTTGGTCTCCCATGAGTGGTCGTATGTTATATTTTACAGGGCTCTTTTTGTAGCAGGAATTCCTCTGCATAGTAGGCGACACACCCCTAATGTAGCCAATCCTCCCAAGAGCTTACAGAGCTCTTCTTACAGGGGCTATTGTAAGCCCTTGGAGGATTGGCTACATTAGGGGTATGTCGCATAATATGCAGAGGAGTTCCTGCTACAAACAGAGCCCATAGGCATGGGGAGTAAGAACAAGTGAAGGGGGGGCAGAGAAAGAGGGAGGATGGGAAAACTGAGAAGGATGGGATAGTTTCATGGGGTGGTGGAGAGGGCCGTCAAGTGACAGCTGACTCATGGCGACCCCGTAGGGTTTTCAAGGCAAGAGACATGGAGAGGTGGTTTGCCATGGCCCGCCTCTGTGTCACGGCCCTGGTACTCCTTGGAGTTCTCCCGCCCCGAGTAAGCCGACCCTGCTTAGCTCCCGAGACCTGATGGGACTGCACTAGCCCGGGGCCGTCCAAGTCAGGGCTAGTTTAATGTCGATGATAGAAAACAGGAAACGGCTTTTTCCCCCCGAGGGAAGTTAAAACTTTGGAGCATCACACTGGTGAGCGTGGTGTGGCTGCGCCATCGGCACCAGGGCGCCTGGAATAATTCCACTCTGCCGAGCATAAGTCAGACCTCATCTGGAGTCCTGGGTCCGAGTCCGGTTGCTGCGCTTCAAGGAGGTGGCAGACAAGGCGAAATTGTTTCAGACGGTCACGGTCTGCACGTGAGACCTACAAGGAAAAGGCTGGCGTGGTGGGCTTCGCCTGGAGAAGACTGTCAGGAGACATGATGGCCCTCTTCAGGCCCATGTCTCACGGAAGAGGGCGAAGGCTTCTTCTTCACTGCTCCACAGTGCGAGGCTAGGTCTAAGGAGCCTGCTAGAAGAGGGTAGATTTCAGGTGAACATTAGCTTCGTTTTCAGGCCATTCTGTTAGGAAGTTTCTCCTCATTACTTGGTGGGGGCTGGTTTTGCAGGCAAAGGTTGCCCTCAGCTCAGTGGGGTTAAGCCATATCCCATGCAGATCAGTGTGGAAGTGGAAAAGCTGCAGGTTTCCCATGGAGGACGGTGGCCTGGCAGACATCTGCCGCCCCCCAAACACCTGCTTCTGGGAGAAAGTGCTCCCATGTTTTTAAAGAGTGGTATGTAGATCCCCAGAATATTTACAGATTCATCAGGCTGTTTGCTGGCAACAACTTGTAAATGCTGTAGGCGTTCCGTGCTAGTTGAGTTACAGCTGCCGGCTAAGGGCCTCCAGACAGACCAGCCAGTTGGGTTGGCTGGTGGGTTTTGTAAAGTTCCAGATCTACCCTTTGGGCGGCTCCATGTCCATGCCAGTGCTCTGTAGGTGCCTAGCTCTTCCCTCTCTCCATCTCCTGGTTTCTGTGGCCTCTTCCATCCCGCACTCCCGTCGTATAGTCCTGGTGCTCTTCCTCCAACCCTGTTGTGTCCCTCCCTCCCCATTGAAGATATTTGATTTCATGTCATCTTATTTGACGATGCTATTTTGCATCCCACTGACCTTCTCCACCCACATGCAGAGAGAGAAGGGCAAGGAAGACAAGAATGGTGCACAAAACTGCCCCACTAACGCTGGGCTTCCTCCCCCCATCACGGAGCCCTCCATGCCCGAGGAGAGCCCACTCCCCGACTTGCACCCATGTGATGCCAGTAAGTAGCCAACCTGTCGTCATGAGCTTTGTGAGACCAAGAGGGGAGCTGGTGATACCCGGGAGGGGGGTGGGCACCCGGCCAGGTCTTTGTGTGGTTAAGCAAACAGAAACGAGGAGGAGTCACGGGCAAGACTCAAGAATAACTCCCCAGAGACGAAAAATACCAGTCATTAATGCACGAAACGGCGGTCTCGTTGAAATAAAGGATCTTAACTATGACATGGAAATGAACATGAATATTCTAAAGCATCACAAAAGATTCAATGAGAAATTACAAGTGTATTTAACACAATGTGAGTTACAAACTCTATAGAATATAGAGCTGACAAAGACAATGTAGCTGAATAGAATATTATCTAATGATTGTGAGTTTCAAAGAGATACACTGAAGGTGATAAATGAGACACCTCAAGTCAATTATTCTCTCCTTTAAATCTTAAGAAGACACAATGAAAGCATCAGAAATGCCACTGCAGTTGTTTATCTCTTCACTCAGTGGTGATGTGGCTGATGATGTGAGCCGTTTCGGACAAAACCTTTGTCAAGAGTGTTAGCCAAATTGCCTTATTTTCTTAGCATGCTTGGGGGAATTATGACATTAAAGGGCAATTGGCATATAACACAGGAACATAACCTGTGTATACCAGAGTCAGAATTCCCAGAGCCCATGAATAGATGAGGAGACCAGGCTGATGAGGTAATTGGTCTTTTACTTAATAATTATCAAGCATACAAAAATAATTAAGCATACACACACACACACACGAGCTAGGAAATAAAGGGTTGAAGCGCTCTGAAGAGATCAGAGACAGAAGAGGGCAAAGTGTTAAGGGTGGGGGGTTTGCATAGCTACCTGTCCAGATGTGCAGAGGTCCATGAAGAAGGGATTGGGGCAGAGGCACATCCTCTGAAGCCATATGCCTTGATGGATATAGACATTGGAAAACAATGCAGACCAATGTGAGTCCTTGAGGAGCTTGTCCCGGATGAAGACAGAAGATTACCTTGACCAATGAGGGGTCTCGGGAGGTGTGGCACCAGTAGGGGCAAGATCTAAATATGACCAATTTGCTTTCAGAGCAGTAGGGGCAAGACCTAAATATGACCAATTTGCTTTCAGATGGGCAGAGTCTGGCTTCACAGTAGCGTTAATAGGATTAGCCAGGTCAACTGGAGCTGGCTGAATGGGTTTTGATGGCCACTGATGGTCCAGCCGGGGTGGTTGAATAGATTCCCAGATTTAGAAAAAAGGTTGGAAATGGGTCCCTGATAGACGTCAGGAAGGATCATTAATAATTTGAATGTTTTCTTAGTTACCTTGGTATCCTGAGGGATGGGGCAGGAAGGACAGGTGTGGAGACAAAGGATTTTTCACATAGGTGTAGGAATCACAAAGAGGACTACGTGCATAGTTGGAGACAGAAGGGCTCTGAAAAAAGCACGAGTGCTCACTAAGTGCTGCGCTCCCTTTAGAGGCAGGAACGAAACTGGAACTGAGGAGATCAGCCACCTAGAGGGCAGGAAGTGAAATTTCTGTTCCTGCCTCCCTAAGGAAGGGGTTGGAAACACCCACACAAGATGTCCTCCACTCAGTGGGAGAAGTGCAGATACCTGATGGAACTCGCCATTGTTTCATAGGCATACCTTTCTGCGTGGTGGTGGGGAAAACTGGAGATTTGCTTTGAGTGCTGCCTTGTGTAAAATGGAGACCCTCTTCCCAGAGCTGTGGCTTGCTCTGTGTTTCAGAACAAGAGTTTCTTCCATTGGCGTGACTTTTGTGGGTCTCTGGTTCAGGTCAGGAGTGGGATGCGCCTGCTGTTGGGGCTACCCTACAGTAAGGCAGTGCCTCCGGCTAAGAAGAGGTATAGATACCTTCTTCCAAAAACAGTAAGATCCAAAGGTACAGTGACCAAGGTGCAATGACTATATAATAGGAACAGAGATGGAGCCCAGTAGCCCGAAGAAGTCTGAATCACAATGAAACACATAGCCAGTTTGGTGTCGTGGTGAAGTGCGCGGACTCTAATCTGGGAGAACCGGGTTTGATTCCCCACTCCGCCACATGCACCTGCTGGATGACCTTGGCCAAGCCATAGTTCTGGCACAGCTGTTCTTGAGAAAGAGCAGTTTCTGTTAGAGCTCTCTCTCAGCCCCACCTACCTCACAGGCAGTGTTCCCTCTAAGCTGAGTTAGTGTGAGCTAGCTCACAGTTTTTTGCCTCTGGCTCACACACTTTTGTCTTCGCTCAGGAAGGATGGCTACAGAGCAAACTAATTTATGCAGTAGCCACATGTCAGGGTCAACAGCAAGTAACTCTCCACACACGATTCCAGGGAAACGTTATGCTTTATTTGATTACAGGTCCATTGCCATGGTCTACAGGGATATCGTTAGGAATGACAATGTGGGGGAATGCATCCCTTCATATAGTGTGATGCTGCAAATGGCTAAGCAAATGAAATCCAAGTGCACGCGCAGGATTTCTCCCGGCGGGAGGTTACATAATAAACAGGAGAGTCTCCGTGCCCCATGAGAGCCGAAATATTCACACCAACGGTGGAACGCAAGCCCTCCCTCTTCCTCAAGGTTAGACAGATAACCCAGTCTGGCAGCGCCAATTCACACGGTCTCAGGTGAGCCTCCCTATCGCTGTTTACAGCAAGCTGGCAAAGCCATGCAAGCATGCGCCGTAGCGCCACAGTCAGGAAGGGACAGGAAGGTGCACATGTAAAATGGCAGCTAGCTGACACCAAATCCCTTCCTCACAACAACTTGAATCCCAGTAGCTCACCAAATCACTTCCTCACAACAACTTGAATGCCAGTAGCTCACAAAGTAGAATTTTTGCTCACAAGACTCCACAGCTTAGAGGGAGCATTGATCACAGGGTGTCTGTTGTGGGGAGGGGAAGGGGAAGGAGTTTGTAAGCCGCTCTGAAACTCCCTTGGGTAGTGAAGGGCGGGGTATAAATCCAATCTCTTCTTCTTCTCTTCTTCTAAATGGCTTGATGATTGAGTTTGTAGTTCCCATTGTGTTAAATATACTTGTAATTGCTTGTGGAATCTTTGTAATGCTTTATAATGTTCATCGTCATTTACATGTGACTGTTAACGGTCCTTTATTTCAATTAGACTGCTGTTTCATGCATTAATGACTGGTATTTTTTTGTCTCTGGGCAGGTCTTTGTATGGGGAAGAAGCCGCAGCTTCATACTGATTATGGGGGGGGGGGGAATAGTCCTCAGAGTTTCTGTGGGAATTCCACCTTTCTCCCCACCAGCAATCTAACCATTTGCTGGCTGCTGGGGATTCTTTTATAGGACGTGTGGGTTCTTCCAGAGGAATAAGACATTACGTAGAATCTGAACAGGTATTGTTTCTCCTGCTGGTTCTACTGCAGTCAGGGGAGAAGTCTGCTCCCATCTTCCTTCCGTAATCAAAGTTCCATGCTTATGCTAGGAGTCCCGCTTCAGGGAATGATGTCTTGTCTTACCGTGAGAGGAAAAGCAAGGTCCTTATTCAGATCTGGGTGGGGAATCACACCTCGAGATTTGGGAGCCTGGATCGTCCTCGTTCCGAGCTGCCATCAGCACATTTGGCCAAAGCCGCAGCCCAGCGAAGAGGACCTGCAGCAGAGCGGACCACTTGGGCTACGATGTGGCCGTGGGGGTGTGTGAGGGCCGGGGTGGGCGGGGGGTCCCTCTGCTTGCCGGCCCCCTGCCTTGGGCTCACCTGTCGCACCCGGTCTCATTCCAGATTGAAAGCCACAAGCTGACCTTCCGCGAAAATGCCAAAGCCAAGACCGACCACGGAGCTGAAATTGTCTACAAGTCACCCACCATTTCTGGAGAAGGTTCCCCGCGTCGCCTTAGCAACGTCTCCTCCACTGGAAGCATCAACATGGTGGACTCCCCGCAGCTGGCCACGTTGGCCGACGAAGTGTCTGCCTCTCTGGCCAAGCAGGGCTTGTGATTGCGTTAAGCGGGCGGAGAGAATAAGAAGAGAAGAATCCAATCTGGCCTTTCTTCCTCTGTTCCTTTGATATCTGCATCTCCCGCCTCCCCCAGTCATTCCTTACTTTTCCCCATTGGCAGGCTGTTTCAACTTGCTCTCTCCTCTCCCCCCAGCCCCTTTCTCCATTCACTCATCTCTAGCCCCCGAGGACTTCAAAATTAGCAGTTGGCTCGGAAACCACCATCCACACGCTGTTTCCAGTTACCTGAGTCTAGACCAGGGCTCTCCGCTGAGCTCATCGGAAAGTGGGCAGGGCCATTGTAAGGCTGCGCTTGTGATTGGCTGCTCTCTTTCCCATGTTGGTGGGTCAGGAGTGGCAAGCATCCCCTCTTCTATTCCTCCTTCAGGCTCGCTTTCGTTTTGTCTCTCCCCACCCCCTTCCCTATTCTTGGGTTTGCCTTTGTTTCTTCTGATTCCCCTTTCCGCGTGGTTGTTTTGCAAAGCGAGGAGGGGAGGGCGTTGTGTTTGGCTGCATCTCCGGCACCAGCTGCTTTTGGCTGACGCTCGCCACCCTTTCCACCCACCCCAAAGGTGCCCACAGGCTCAAAAGGGTCCGGGACCCCCTGGTCTACAGAAACATCCTTTCCTCACTTGCCCCTAGCAAAGGAAGCTCCTGGGTACACTTGTGCTGCTTGAAATGTGGCTCTTCGATGGGAGGGTGGGTGTCTCCTTCTCGAGCTGTGTGGAGCAAATGCCCCTCCGTGAAGACAGAAGAGAGCCCTTGGGCAGGATGATTACTTAGCTCCCTCCCCCCTATTGCTTTATGATAATATATTCCCATGTTGTTGGTGGTGGGTGGTGGGGGGACTATCGCTGTCAACCTTATGCACAGTTTTTGTGTGTGTAACGTCACCTCCTGCTGGAAGACCCGAGGCCTTCTGTGTAACATCGGCAGGTCCCTTCTGCGGAGGGGGGCTTCACGCACAGCGGGAAGGGAGCAAAGTTTCCATGGAACTGCATCATTCATTCCCTTTCTTACTTTGTCCCTTGGGGAGTTTCCCTCATGCGATTTGACTGCATGTGCATTATCCTGGGTTAGGGCAATACTGTAGTGTTGGGTTAAAAGGCACCTGCCTGCTGCTGCCCTCTCCAGCCCGAGCCGAATTTTAGAGTCCTGAAAGCTGCTGGGTCCCTTCGGCTCGATAGTTCACAGATGGGAGTGTATTAGGAGGCAGGATGGACACACTTCGCTTGTCCCTCCCCCCAAAGCAATGCTGTGAACATGGGCCTGTTGCCTTTAGTTCTTACCCAGGACAGCCGTTTCTGTATTTGGCTCTCTCCTCTCCATTCCCTTAGTAGTCTGCTGCAGAATCCGGGCTTTAGTCGTTACCTTCCCCCCCCTCCCCCAACTTCCACCTACCAGCCCGCATCAGCCCTGTGCCATTCATTCTCTATGTTCCTCGGGCAGCCTGGGACATTGGGTTGCTGCATGTCTAGAGAGAGGAGGAGGAGGAAGTCATGGGCTGGATGTGAAGTCCAAGAGGCTGCGGTGTTCTTCTTTGTTTCTCTGAGAAACTTTAGGGCTTTAAAAAAAAAAACAACCCCGGGATGCACGTGCTTCAAATGCGAGCAGATGTCCTGCAGGAATGGTAGCTCCCAGTATGCGCAGGCTGGGTTGTGTGTGTCATGCTGAAAAACAGATCTGTTTCCCTTCTTGCATAAGCATTTGTGTGTAGCCAGGGCTTTGGTCATTAATGCATGTTTGCCCCTTACTGATCGCCATCTGTGAAGGAAGCACAGTGGATGAATGGATGAAGCTCACACATTGCAACTGCGAATCATCAAGTATTGTTCCTTTGCTGAACTGCATGCACGTGTCTCTAAGGGAGCCCACCACACAATGCAGCCAGCCGGTGCTCGATCAAAACCGAGGTCTGTAAGGGTGCCTCCTAATGAGGGAGAAAACCCAAACTACCTTCTGAATTCGAGTGCTTTTCTGCACCCTGGGCAGGCAAAGGTCTTTCCTGTACCATTAAGGGAGAGATCACCTCTGGGAGGAAGGTTGCACTATCAGGTGGGTAGTACCTTACTAATCTTACTCCAGCAGGGTTACAGGAAGACCCTCTCATAGGATAGGAAACACTTCAGCAGGGTTACAGGAAGACCCTCTCATAGAATAGGAAACACAAAAATAAAGCAGCTCTTACCCCTCATTTACCCGCATCAGTAATGCTGAATAAACATTTCCTTCTTACAGTGCACTGCTTGTGTGACCTGGCCCGTGGTAGGAGGTGGTGTTCAGCGCCTCAGTTTCTCTGTTTTGCATGTAATGCCCAAGCAGAACATGAACTCAAAGCACACCCTATGTTTGTTGTGGTACCAGCTGTCGTGCCAGAAGAGAGCGCATACTGCTGACCTGTGCATTTCAGATGGTTGCAGCTATTTGTGTAAAACCAGGTGTCTTGGTTATAGAGGGCTCTCCGGAGGGGAGAGGGAGCTGGGTTAACTGGGGGTGGGGTGTTGAATAATACAAGTTCTACTGTGTGAGGTATGTGGTCTTTTTTTCACTCCCTAGATGCCAGCTGGATATATGGGGAATACATCTGGAAGTGGCCTGGTGAAAAAGCAGGATGACTTTTGGAAATAACTATTGGGAACTTTTAGAAGTGCAGGGGGTGTTTTTCCTTCCAGTGATACTTGATATACACAGCTGTTGTATAAAGAGCATTTACCAGCAGACATGGTGGCTTAAACAGGAGCTTTAAAAAAATAAAATAAAAGGGGGGGGAGAAAACTTTTTGTGAATTAGAGCAGACAATTCCTGTTTGGGAAAGGGTAGGTTTAAAAACCTTGGCAAGGCATGCAAGTTCTGAATTTGCTATAATGAATAGGGGTGTGCGCTCATTATATACCGAGCCAATTAAATACCCGAAAAAGACCTTATTGGTATTTTTTGGGTATTTATTCGGCCGAATACAGATTGGAGAATCTGATTTGGCTACTGGAATAGCTGGGCCCAAATAAAAGCCAATATTGTTTGACTTTTATTCAGGCGAGGTTAGAAGGCATTTAAAGTTAAATCCCTTCTGAATTCACTCACTGAGTCACACCATAGTGGGACTTAGCAAGTGAACTCAACAAGCATTTAAAGAGACTGCAGTCTCTGCAAATGTCTTTTTTCCCTTGGTTTCAATGGAGGATGGGGGTACCTTCTTTGGGGGCCCAAAGCATTGGGTGGGGGTTGAGGACAGGCAGCAGCAGCTATGCTGCAAATCTGGTGCCTCTACTCAAAAAAACATGGCCCCCAGCATGCCAAATGCCCCATGGGGCCTAATAAATCTGGGTTTTCTGAATATTTACCTGAATTTCAATACAATACCAATATTGGTATTCGGGACTATTCGGAGGATTGAATTGAGAAAAACCACCCCAATTTTTTTTGCACACCCAACAGCTAAGTTTCCACTGCTTTGGCGATCTTGGCACAGGGACATTTCTAGTTCCGGGCTGCTCTGGCACCTCCCTTCAGAGTTCTCCTGTGCCCTCAAGTGTGTGTGGATCAGGGCATTTCTTTTCCAGAGACCCATTAGTCATCCTCTATGCCCCCAACCAGGTTTAGCTGCAGCATTCATCTAAGCTTCCTGTCTGGCATCTGCTTTTTAAGAGCGATCCGTGTTTAACCAGCCTTTTCTCTTTGTTGCTGTGTGAGCTGTTGCCCTGGTTCGTGTCCTCTTCCAGGATGCATTTCCAACTTTTCCCCACTGAATTTGGTGGCACCACGATACTGGTTAGGCATCTCAGCACATTTTAGGTTCTAGCACTTATGTGGGCAGCAAAATCTTAAGGTTTTTTGTGTTTGTTGGCCAACTAATAGTGCTGGACTATTTACACTGTGCTGCTTTCCAGCGCTGTACAATTTTGAGAGAAATGTCCAACCAAGCGCATTTTATTTCCATTAACATTACTGTAAGGCATCAGGCACATCAATAGCATTTTATCAATAAAAGTACTTTATAGTCCTTTCTTCTTTTCCCATAAAGAGGTTCCTCAGGCTTGAAGTAGAAGCCTGTAGTATCTAGCTCATCTCATCTTATCCCTCATCAGATGAGAAACCCAGGTCAGATTTCCCCTTTGGGCATACGAGCAGGTAAAATGTCCATTGCTGATTGGCTAAAGCTGTGGATAAAATGAATGCATCGGATGACTGAGGTGTACCGGCCTTATTGAGACAAAGGGGGGAAATAAAGAGGAATGGAAGAGACACAAGAGCCGCTGGCCTCCAGGATGTTGCGTGGCTGCTTATTTCATTGTGCAACAGAGTCTGGGGTGGTGGCGGCAGCGGAGTTAGGGTCTTCAGACATCCCCGCTCTCTTCAGTCACCTCTCATGATTGTAGGATATTGTACTTAAAGTCTGTGGCTTTCTCTGGATTTGCCTGGGAATGCTAGGGAGACTTGCAGATTTTTTGGAGCAACAATGACTGTAGCATCCAAGGCTACATCAAGGTAGAGCTCGGGCTGGGGAGAAAATTCATTACCTTTGCCCCCATCTCCCTTTGCATGATTTGTAAATCGGAAAAGACAACCCATTCTCTTGAGCATGGAGTAGCCCAATGAATCTTTTACAGGATTCTCTCTCCCCCCTGCCCTTTCTTTCTAAAGCTTAAAGAGCCCTGGCTTGCCCCCACCAGCCATATTTCATTATATTTGAACCCCCTCCTACCATGAGGCACATTCTGATCCCCCTTCCCCCCCCTCCCAAAACATAATAGCCCTCTCTTTAAATGGTAGGTACAGTTTCCCAGCTTTGAGGCTGATGGGTCTTTATGGCTTATTTTAGGACAAACACAGGCATTGCTTTTCCAGATGGTTAAACCCTTGAGGGTCACACTCTAGGGCCATGTCGAACTGACGGGCTGGTTTCTTGTCTTGGTATATAAGCATACATATCTAGGGGTTTGAAGGAAAAAAAGGGTTAACTTGACAGATAAAAATCATGATATTGGAAGTTAAGAAAAACGAGCTTCGTTACTGGAAGTTGGAACTATCAAAAGGGGCAATGATGGAGTTTGGAAGACCCCACAGTTCCCTTTAAAGTTTTTCAAGGGGTGGGAAAACAGGGAGGGGTGGGTGGGAAGGGAATTCGATCTCCGTATGATCATCGTAGCTTAGCTACCTGTCTGTGACTGTCCATATTGTACTTGTGCGTTTTAACAACTGGTTTACACTGACTGTTGCTGTAAAAGTGAATTTGGAAATAAAGAGTCATTACTATAATATGAAATGAATCCTTTGTTTCTGCTTGACAGGGTGGTGAGGGTGTCACACGTCTCTAGCTGTGATGGGTTCTTCTTCACAGTGGCTATAAAGTCTCACTCTTCCTCTCATACACCCAGCCACCGGTGTTCCCTCTAAGCTGAGTTAGTGTGAGCTAGCTCAGTTTTTTAGCCTCCGGCTCACACATTTTTGTCTTAGCTCAGGAAGGAGGGCTCCAGAGCAAACTAATTTATGCAGGGGCCAAATCGCTCGCTCATACCTTTCATGCCAGTAGCTCACAAAGTAGAATTTTTGCTCACAAGACTCCACAGCTTAGAGGGAGCACTGCCAGCCACTTAGCAATTTTTGGGTCTAGCTTTAACTTGCGAAATTCAGAATCCTGAAAGTGCCATTCTCACCTTGCAGAGAAGGCAGACCAATGTATCATGAATACATCGAATTCTCAAGGTGACCCCATCTGTGTATACTTAAATCTGGAGATTGGGGCCATGGACAGACAAGATGGAACTTTCTATAAACCTGGGGTAAATGCCAGGTATGCAAAAAAAAAAAAACTTTAAAAAAATTGATGAGGATTTAAAACCCTCAAATCACGTAGCTTTAAGAAACGGCTGCCCTCTGTGTCTGTTGCTAGGCAACCACAACAGTATTGGTAGCATTCAAGCCTTGATTTGTCGGGAGAGGCCCTTTCCGCAGCTGTTTTGCCCTTTGGTCTGGCAGTAACCATAGGGCAACTTGATAGCCCCGGACCTGCATGACTCACCCAGGACTGGCTATTTGCTGCTGTCCAACAGAAGCCACTTCACAAAATCAGTGCAGTGCAGTGGTTCCAGCCTAGGATCTGGGAGACCCAGGCTTGAATCGTCACTCAGACACAGAAGTTGACTTGGGCCAGTCACACACAACCTACCTTGCCAGGTGGAGGATAAAAATGGAGACAAATTATGTAAGCAGCATTGGGATTCCCCATGGTGAAAAAAGCAAGGTATAAATTAAATAATATCACTGAAAATGCAGGAGGCAGATAAAAAGGTAGGCCGGTTGGTGGGTTGGAAGGAGAGAAGGGAAAGATGAAATATGAGGCTGCTGCGTAGAGGAAATCGGTCACAGTGTGCAGATCAAAAATTGCTCAACAGGGACATGTGCAGACAAGGAGCATCCCCCCCCCCCGGAAGCAAATGTTAAAAGGCAAAGGAACTTTTAAAAATGACCCATACTTCAACTTACAGGAGAAAAAAAATGAGATCTCTTAACACTGTTGTAAGATCTGGGCCACCAGATTTGTGTGTGTGTGTGTGGGGGGTGGCACAGGCAGCAGGCAGGGGAGGGAGGGAGAGAAGATGCAGGAGGAATCCAGTGTGTGTGGATTTCCTCTGCTTGTGACATTCTGATCCACATGCAAGAAAATGCAGCTGTTGAATCAACCAGATGATTACCCCCGTTCGGGGCTCCCTTCGAACCGGTCGCTAGTTTATGGGTGACAGAGCGATTGAAGACCCGGAGTGGCCGGGTGTCCCCAGACGGGGGACTGGAACTAGCTAAACGCATGGAAAGGAATGCAAAACAATTAGAACGTCTCTCCCTACTCATGGCAGCTTAGCTGACACGGGTATCAGCTTGGAACCGATAGCAGCTGCTAGCCCTTTTCCAAGGCAAAGGGTTTACAGTCACCCAAGGGCAGAAGTGGTTTGCTCTCGTCCAGATGAACCATTTCCCCGCTATTCCTTCCCCTTGAGACATTAGCGTTACTAGACAGAAGGCCGAGATACCTCACACACAGGACACACACACCCACTTACCCAAGAAGACATTTGGCATACAGCTTTCTTAACTTTTAAATTTTTTTTAATCCTTTTTTTTCTTTTTTTTTTATAAGCACACATCTGTGCTTTGGCCAACAGAATCAAGACATTAAACAAAGATCAGCTTCTCTGAAGAAAAGCGTTTCTATATAACAAGGACATTACACAGCTTGAAGCAGGAAAAGAAATATTTACAAAATACAAGTTTTTTTGTGGATTTTTTTCCCCTTTATAACGCTAAGAGGGTTATTCAGAATTTTCAACTTTATAAATAGAAAAAGCACTTAATGCAGAGGGATATGGTAGCATTGGGTTTTTTTCCTCTTTTTTTTTTTTAAAGAAATTAAACTAGAACAGAACAAAAAAAATTAGGTAATGTTGAAAATTGTGAAAAAACCCCAACCATTAAGCAGTTTAGCTACTATTTCATTACGATTACAAAATGGGAAAAAATGTCTTTTTTTCCTTTTTCTTTTTTGGTGATGTGATTAATACAGAAGACAGGCGCAATGCTAACAACAGGACGGGGACCAACAGCCACACCGCTAGGGTCAGAAAAACATTACAGGTTGACCGGTGTGCAGAATTTGGGACTCGCGGGGGATGGGAGGTGGTGGCAGCGGCCTCTTTAAATAATAATAATAATAATTAAAAAAAAAAAGAACCTGTTGAGCTTGGTGATAGTCGGCCCGAGAAACTCAGAAAAGGGGAAAAGAACCTGATGAGTCGCTTGCATTCAACAAAGTTTGTGTGTGGAAGTGGAGTCAAGCAGTAGTGGTGAAAAACAAAGTCCTAACCTTGCTCAGTGCAAAAAACCCAAACGCTTTAGGTACTCAAGGGATCGATCATAAAACTGGAGGGGTACTTGAGAAGGGGGTGGAGGATGCACAGTGAGATCATACTACTCTAACTAAAATATGGCTTATGGGTCTAGGGTGGCAAGTGGTTGAATCCTGTGACATTCCTCCCACTATTTAAGGCTTAACACTACTGTATGGCAATTCAGTAGCAGCAGACCTATAACTACTCCCAACTTTTAAGTTAACAGCAGAGGGCAAAATCGAAAGGTTAATTGTTAATGGCACAATGAAAGGGCGGCAGGGGGGACGGACCCGCAAGTCACATCTAACAAAAGAAATCTGAAGGTGTAAAAAACTACTCGTTTTGAAATGTTGGACCCCATTTTCAATGCTATTACATTACCCCTCTCCCAAGAAACCCACAATAGGATCTGAAGAAAACTGATGCCTGAAATTGTAACTTGGGTGCTGAAGAGAAATTACCTTTTCCTTGCACAAACACAACAGTTCCTCTTTAAGATGGACGAATGGTATCAAAACCAGCAGAACAGCAGAGAGGATTGAAGGCGGTAAGTGGAGAGAAAGGGGCCCACTGGGGCCTCAGGACTGGGAAGCCGGCCCTTTTGAATACAGCCTTGGGAACCAAACAGCTAGAGACTTTGCACTGCAAGTGCTTTCTGGTGCTAGTGGGACACTTTTTGTGAGGAAGGTGGCATTCAGACATCACTTTTCACCACTAATTTCACTCCACTAAAATCTTAAGGGAGAGGAAGGACAGAGTGGTGGTGGCAAGTAAGGAGAACAGACGCTGAATGACCCAAAAAGAAAGAAAAGAGAAGTAGCCTTTCACCCAGGAATGAACTCCAAGGAGGTCAATCAGCCAGCTTCACCCTCGGTTCTAGAAGTGGACACCTAAGCATGGGGGGGGGGGCAACACGTTTGCTCTCCTCACTAGACCACAGAGAACTGGAGAAGGTATCTGTGACAAGGAAACACTGAAAGAGAAGGGGGGGGAGGAGGAGGAGGAAAAAAAACAGTTTCTAAACTCCTTAAATTCACTAAAAACTGTGAAAATTCCCAGCAGGATGTTTGAATATCAAACGCAGATTTCGGAAGCTTTAATGCCAAGAGTTAGTTTGGTGGATTGCTTTTTGCTTTCATCTTCCTGTCTGTCTCTTATCTGTGGGCCGGCCGCTGGATTGTGGCCACTGCCCCCGGGTTCCGGCTCTTGAGGCTGGCGAGGGTGGGGGAGGTGGGCGCTCCGTCCGTCTCTCGGGAGGGCTTGCTGCCCGACGTGCGCCGTGTGCAGCGTGACGACCGGTCCTGCGGATCTGACAGGTCCTCACACTCTGTCTTGGGGTTGTAGGGCAGGGGGAAGCTGCGCCGCTCCCAGGGCTGCACAGTCTGAAAGGGAGAGACGAGTCGGTTAGTGGGGGGCTTAGGAGGACACGGGTGCGCTGCATCCCCCAGGCGATTTGCAGACATCTCAGATTGAACACCTTATCCAAATCCAGGTACAAAACTAAAACATTTAACCTCCTGATACACAGCAGGTAGCAGAACCCTAAGCCTATACCTAAGATATCACAAACTGATATTCATTTTTATTGGGTAAGCATCTGGAATCAAACTGTATTGTGTGGGTCTAGTCAGTCAAACCACTTTTCTAAGAAAGCCTCCCAATAGTCGCAGGCCAAGACTTTTATTTCAGAGGGGATCTGCGTTGGTCTGCAATAGAAGAGCTGGATTCAAACCCAGCAGCACCTTAGAGACTAGAGATGTAAAATTTCCAGAAATTTTGAAGCTCAGAAAAAAAAACCCAGTTTTTTTCCGGGTTTTTTTCGGGGGGAAAAGGAACTTTTCAGAAAAATTGGAAACAAAAATACTACATTAGGACTTATTTTTTCTTTTCCAGATTGAAAGTCATTCTGTTACTTTAGGAACATAAAATATGACTATGGACAATTTTACTTGGCATGAAACTATCACAACTAGCATATTAAAAATATTGTGTATCCAAACAGTTATTACAAACAGAATTTACTTTTAAAATAATATTTATTTGTAATTTTAAAAAATGGAGCAACAATCTCCTGAACTGTTTACTAGTTTATGTGGAACAGACAAAAAAACCTCCACAAAAACAATTTTTAAAAATCCAGAAGTAACAATTATTCATATTTCCTCTCCACAGTATTAAATAATAAAAAAACCCATTCTCATAAAAAGAATTGAAGAGAGGGGAAGTGTATAGAAGGGAGTGTGGGACTAAATTTCAATGAATGGGCATGGAATTTAATCAGAATCATTTTGGTATGGAATTTAATCAGAATCATTTTCTGAGCTGTAATTATCAGTTTCAGTCTCTGCTTCTGCGGCTACTCTGTTGTGTCTGTCATTATCCATTGGAGAGTTCAGTTTGTAACCTAGGACTTGCTTGTCCTCAGTGCACAGAAATTAGATCAATCTGATACCATACATATTTTTTAGAAATGATTTGGAAAATATCTGAACACCTTATCCTAAAATATTTTATTCATCATGTTCCGTAATCAATTTTTTTTTCTTTTTTCTTTTTTCAATTTTTTGGGAAAAAACAAAAAAGGCTTCTCCCCCCCCCCCCTGAATTTTCCCGGTTTTCCCCCAGGCTTTCACATCTCTATTAGAGACCCACAAGAATCACAGGGTGGGAGCTTCTGGAGATGAAGGAAGCTCTGGCTCCTGAAAGCTTCCACCCTGAAAATCCTGCTGGCCTCTAAAGTGCTGCCGGATGTGAATCTCGCTCTCAGACTTGTCTTGAAGCTCTCTGGTGAGGGAGATACCACCATTCCCCTGGGGACTTCTTGGGTCCTCCGTCTTGTTGCTACAGTACAGAAGAGCCTGCCTGAGCCTTAACTGGCTTCTGCCTCTGTGTGGCTGTGTTTTTCACATCTGCGTCCAGCCGTACTCCTACAAGGATCTGAAAGCTCTGGTTTACTCTAAGAATGTGAACTGAGCTCAGGCCACCCCAAGCAAGCTTCATGGCTGAGCAGGGACTGGAAATTCCCCCACCAACACACTGGTTGTTGATCTATAGCACTGAGTGAACAGCCAGAGATACCATTTTCATAGCTGCTGCTTCATTTCCACAGTTATTTATAGAAATGATTCCCAGAACTTGGCTGAGCACACATACTGCCTACCAAAACTGGTTACTGATGTGAGGACTCCTCTCCAGGTCAGTTTATCCCTGGGAGGTCCCCATCCCAACTGCAGGCATCCTGGAATTCTTTAAGCGTGAGACCTTTTTTCCAACTTCTGTTCCCTAAAGAGCTTACAGGGCTGTAGGGACAAAATCGCTTCCACCAAAATAAATGACAGGTGAAGAAGAAGAGATTGGATTGATACCCCGCCCTTCACTACCCAAAGGACTCTCAGAGCAGCTTACAAACTCCTTTTCCTCCCCCTCCCCGCAACAGACACCACCCTGTGAGGCAGGTGGGGCTGAGAGAGCTCTGACACAAACTGCTCTTTTCAAGAACAGCTCTGACATGACTCACCCAAGGTCATGCCAGCAGCTGCTGGTGGAGGAGTGGGGAATCAAACCCAGTTCTCCCAGATTAGAGTCCGCGCTCCTAACCACTACACCAAACTGGTGTTTTGTTTATGTCGTGCACAAACAGTTAAAACTTGCAGTGCCAAGAATACTCCCGCGCCCTTCCTCAGGAGCCAGGAAGGACTGACACTCGCCTGTTCATCAAGGCCAGATTCCGGTGTGGAACAACGCGTGTCCTCTGTGGAGAGATGCCGCATGGAGTCCCGGGACAGAGGGGTGTGGGGGCCGGAGAACAGGTCAGGGCTGATGGGACTCCGTGGAGAATGGGCGTGGGGGAAGTCAGAATGGGAGTGGCCATTGCCCACTTCAGGGGAAGCTGGCTGGGGGGTAGATGGGTTCCCCATCTGTGGAGTTGTCCGTCCATCTGCTGATCTGTAAGACCTGGAATTGAGACACATCGCTGTTATACACACACACACACACACACAAACAGAAAACAAAGAAGAGTCACAGGAGTTGTTCAAAACAGAAGTCTGCCCACCTTCTGCTGATATTCTTCAAGTGGTAATCTGTGTAGTCTCACTACAGGGACTCTGTGAGGAGCAAAATCTGGAACCTTTTAGAACTTAAAAAATGAGGAGACAGGTGCTGCCCAGCTCAAGGGAAGAAGTGTGAAGTGCATGCCCTGAGGGGTGGGGCTTGGCCTTCCTGCTCATTTCTTCAACACACCAGGCTGAAGAGTGTAGGCCTGTTCTTTGTTTTTTTTTTTTGGGGGGGGCGCCCAGGTGGGATCAAAAAGTGCTCCTATGAACTGAATGAAACAGGTATGGTAGCCCCCCCCCTCCCCCGTGCTCCCTAAAACTGCCTGGTTTTCCACTGGAAAAATGGAGGAAGTCCTTGGATTTGCCGTTTTCCCATGCTTGCACATCTTTACAAGCAGGCAAGGCACGTTTAATATTTGCTGGCGTGTAACAGGAGTTTTCCAGAGCAAGCCAACCATCTATACATTAGCTGCCCAAGACACGAAGATGGGGGTGGCGCACAGCTCCCACCGATGGACATTTCCCGGAAGTCCTGGGTGTCACGGGAAGCCCAAAGGACTTTGCATAGAATTCCACACTATCTTACATTAACAGTTTTGTTGACCTGTTTCAAAGCTAGGATGGGGCAGACACCTCTGTCTCTCTTTAGCCTTGTGAAATGCTGGCCACAGAAGTGCTGGAATCTTCGAAAGGGGGGCGTTCACTCCTCAACATCTTCCAGAAGGAGGCCTCTCGTCCTTGGGGAAGCAGTGCCAGGAAGCAGAGGCGATGATCAGTGGGGAACGATGTCAACAGTTCTCTTTTATTCTTTTTCTTCACTTCCAAAGGGGGTGCATGCACGATGCCTAGAATCTAGAGACCAAGGGACCTGGCCCAGTGCTGCCTGTTTAGGGACCAAAGGCACAGTGTTGAGGGCTCGGGTCCGAACGTGTGCACTAGCAGGGCACAGACCGAATGGACAGGGTCTAGTGGGTACCAAGGCTGTCGGTGCCTGACCCATCAAATCCAATGCAGAAGGAACTCAGCCCAACACGGTGCTCTGAGACATGTGGAGCAATTCCAGCAAGCCTGCCTAGTAGAATCACCAGCCACATGGTGCTGGACTCCATTTGCGGCACTTTGGCCGGCGGTCAGTCAACAGGCTTGGTGCAGTCTGGCCATGCCTCTGTTTTATCCGGTGTTATTTGTTCTGGAGAGGTTTGTCCAAACATGCCACCCTTGATCTGCGTCACCACACACTCACTCCGTGGTTGGCCATTCAGATTATTGCTGCGCAGTGACCATGGAGCAGTCGGTCGGGCGGTATCCTTTTTAAAAAACTGTCTTTCGTGCATGTGCAGGAGTGGTCCCTCGAAGCACCACTCCATTTTGACAGCGCTGCGATCCCTCCGCCAAGTACTGCAGCCCCTCTCAGCCTCCTTTGCTTCACCCCGCTTTTCCTTGGAAGACAGTGTGTGTGTGGGGGGGGGGGAAGCATCATGCAGATTTGCAAGAGAGTAGCCCAACTGACTTCAGTACATTTACTCATGTGTCAATCATGGGGTGCTCTCAAAACAGCAACTCTGAAGCAGAAACGCCTTTTCCTGCTAACACAGTTTCCATGGGGGAAAGTGGGGTGAGGAGTAGGGTTGCCAGCTCCAGGCAGGGAAAATCTGGGAGATTAAGAGGCCTGGGGAGGACGGGAACCTCCGTGGGATACGATGCCATAGAGTCCACCCTCCAAAGCATCCATCTTCTCCAGGGGAACTGATCTCTGTAGTCTGGTGAACTTTAGCCAAGGTCCATGGCCCAGAAAGCCCTGTACACACTTTTGGGGAAGATATTCAGCCCAATTTTACTCAGAAGCAAGGCTACCTGGATTTTTGAATTTTTCCAGCTTTACACCCAAATTTCCCTGAATTAGGGATGCCAGCCTCCCCAGCCTCCCTGCTGATATGGGGACTATTTCCACGTGTTTCCAACCCCAAGAAACGGGGGTGAGGTGGGTGGGATTTGCCCCTCAAAAACAACTCTCCCAGGGGCTCCCGATCCTGACAGAATGTTTGGGTGCAGAAACACACAAGTGGTGATTCAAAACCCTGGGTATAAGATCTGCTTATGCACACATCGCTAACTGAATTTTTAAAACAGTGAGACCAGTTCAATCCGTAAAGACTGGACTTTCTCCGATGTCGGGAAAGTCGGAGGTGAGAATGGGGCGCCAATGACTGGGGAACAGGATACCGCTGTCACTGTCTGAACGAGCATTTTTAATGCAGAAGGGAGAAGCAATGACACTGGATCAAGGAGCTCGTCTGATCGCAGCCTTAGTCAATGATGGTGCCGCTCAGCGCTGGGCAATTTGCCACCGTGCTGGAGGTGCTTTTTAAAACTGGATCACTGTGCCACGGATGTGGGCAAAAGGGGTCCCAAGAGGCAGCTCAGTTCCAACAGTGAAAAGAAAGATGCTGTCACTGTGGTGGTCAAAGAAGATCTGAATGGGAAGCATGCATGCCTGCTGATGCTCCTTCACTTAAGCTGGGCAGGACTGGTTGCCAAATTTCTAAGTTCAGTTCCCGAAGGTTCCAAACTTTGCTTTGCGCAGAGGCCCAAGGATCCACCTGTACAGAGACCACAACCTGCTTAAGGTATTCTCAAAAGGTTCTGTTCACAGAATGAAAAGCCGCCGAAGGCAACTGCCTCTAAACCCTTGCTACAGGGCCAGACCACTCACCCAAAAGAACACTCTCCCATTTCAAGTCACACAATCCAAACAGATTTTTGCCACAAGCAAAGCGCAGGTAAAGAGGTGAAAAGTACCAGGAAGGTAGCTACCTGCTCAGCTGGCAAGCCACAATGCCCATATATTCAGCAGCCACTTGAGTCTGGGATTTATTACAGACTCTGCCACTGGAATAAATAATGAAAACGAGGACAGGGGACCATGGTGGAGACGTCAGCAGCTGCCACAGAAGTGTGACTCCCCTGAGGATCTCAACATAAGCCTTGGCCAAACCATGCAGAAATATCAAGGTCAATAGGGGCACTTTACACCCAGCAGATACTTGGGAGCCAGGGTACGTCTCTGTAAACAGGTGCAATCAAACGTTCTCTGCAGCCAGAAGTCAGTTATAACAACAACCTGGCAGCCACTCAAGACCGATGCCAGCCCAGCATTCGGTGTTTGCTTCCAGAGGGCCTCCTTCATCGCTTCTAGTTTGGTCAGTGCAATAAACTCCTCCTCCTTCAGGACTGAGCAACCACCAGGCATTGCAACCTGATGTCGGCTCCCTGCCATAGCGGCTGGTAGAGAGGGGGAAACTGCTTGGAATGTTTTAGTTTCATTTCTCTTGCTGACTTGGTGATGCTCCCTTATCTATACATTTTATGTGCCTGACCTTGGTTCCTACCTGTAGCACCTTAGCAATTGCATTCTGGCAGGCCCTTTCTTTTGTCTTGATTGGCTCCATGCCGCCCAGTGACCCCTTTGAACCGTGTATATCCGTTCACCCCGCACTTTTTGCTTTAGTCTTAACACAGAACCTGAAGTAGAGATGCTTTGCCAATACTGTATCAATAGTTGTCGGTTCTGATTGCTGCAGGAGTCTGACACCTGAGTGTGCAATAATGGCGCTGAAAGAGTTGCCAATCTTACCTGCTGCCCCGCCGTTGAGGTGGCACACTTGTGCTCCACAGCCACCTGGCCCGCTCCATCTCCTCACACTTGGCATGGAGAGTGGCAAAGGCTGTGTCCGACAGGTCCTCTATCTGAAAGAGCGACGACAAGAAGGCGGTCAACTCCGGAGGGGGGTCTACCATCTCAGCGACTTGCAGAGTGCCACAAACACGCTGCACGATGCCTCATGAAGATGCTTCCAGCATCAAGGACAGCAGAGGTCAAACTACTAACCCAGGGGGTCCCCAACATGGTGTTCCTGGTCACCATGGCCCCTGCCAACACTTTTCCTAGTGCCCACCCAGTACTTTCAGGGGGTGGGCAGGGCTAAGTAGGGCTCTTGCCCAGCAGGGCTTCTGATTGGCTGTGCAGATAAGAAGGCACCCTGCTCAACAGCGCCTCTGCCCGAAACATTGAAGAGTGACTATGAGAGTTACATATCACCTTTGCTCCCTGACATTTTGTGGCGGGCTTTGCCTCCTGTGACAGTGATCTGGTGGCTGTGCCCACTGCCCTGGTTGGAATTCCAAAAAAAAAATCTGGACACACCCGACCCAATCAGTTAAACAAGTATAAAGCCAACAGTCGTGATAGTCTGACCCACAATCAAACAGTGATAAGACTTATAAAGAATGCTGTTTATGTATTGCAATCTAAAGCACTATAACATGATACACGTCGTCGTCTCCGGATTACATAACAACGTTTCAAAAAACGAATCTTCTTCAGGAGATATTATAGTGGTGCCAAAGCTCTCAGTTTCATAAAAAGCAGTGGAAAGCTAGTCACAGTGAGGCTGATAAAACGGAACACAGGCTATGGCAAATAAAATGCAAGTCTGAGGTCAGGCAGGCAAAAAGGGAATATGAGGAGCATATAGCAAAAAACGTAAAAACCAACAATAAAACTTTCTTCAAATACATTAGAAACAGGAAACCAGCCAGGGAGGCAGTGGGGCCCTTGGACGACCAAGGGGTAAAAGGAGTATTGAAGGATGATAGGGAAATGGCTGAGAAGCTAAATGCATTTTTTGCCTCCGTCTTCACTGTGGAAGATGAGAAGTGCTTGCCCACTCCAGAACCACTGATTTCAGGAGGGGTGTTGGAAGACCTGAGTCAGATTGAGGTGATGAGAGAGGAGGTCCTAAAACTGATAGACAACTTAAAAACTGAAAAATCACCAGGCCCAGATGGCATACATCCGAGAGTTCTGAAAGAACTCAAATGTGAACTTGTAGATCTCCTGACAAAGATATGTAATCTTTCCTTAAAATCTGCCTCCATTCCTGAGGATTGGAAGGTAGCTAATGTCACTCCCATCTTTAAAAAGGGTTCCAGAGGAGATCCGGGAAATTACAGGCCAGTCAGTCTGACGTCGATACCGGGTAAATTGGTGGAAACCATTATTAAGGAAAGAATTAGTAGGCACATAGATGAACAAAACCTATTGAGGCAGACTCAACATGGGTTCTGTAAGGGAAGATCTTGTCTCACTAACCTGTTAGTGTTCTTTGAGGGGGTGAACAAACATGTGGACAAGGGGGATCCAATAGATATTATTTACCTTGACTTCCAGAAAGCTTTTGATAAAGTTCCTCATCAAAGGCTCCTAAGTAAGCTCAAAAATCATGGGATAGAAGGACAAGTCCTTTTATGGATCAAAAACTGGCTAGTTCATAGAAAACAGAGAGTGAGTGTAGGTGGGCAATTTTCTCAGTGGAGGGTGGTAAGCAGTGGGGTACCGCAGGGATCAGTACTTGGTCCACTGCTTTTTAACTTGTTCATTAATGATTTGGAGATGGGAGTAAGCAGTGAAGTGGCTAAATTTGCGGATGATACAAAGTTGTTCGGGGTGGTGAAAACCAGTGAGGATTGTGAGGCACTCCAAGGGGATCTGTCAAGGATGGGCGAGTGGGCGTCAACATGGCAAATGGGGTTCAATGTGGCCAAGTGCAAGGTGATGCACATTGGAGCCAAAAATCCTAAATATAAATACACATTGATGGGGTCTGAACTGGCAGAGACTGATCAAGAGAGAGATCTTGGAGTTGTAGTAGATAACTCACTGAAGATGTCGAGACAGTGTGTGACTGCAATAAAGAAGGCCAATGCTATGCTGGGGATTATTAGGAAGGGTATTGTAAACAGATCAGCCAATATCATAATGCCGCTATATAAATCAATGGTGCGACCTCATTTGGAATACTGTGTGCAGTTCTGGTCACCACACCTTAAAAAGGATATTATAGCTTTGGAAAAAGTGCAGAAAAGGGCAACTCGAATGATAAAAGGGTTGGAACACTTTCCCTATGAGGAAAGGTTAAAGCGCTTAGGGCTCTTTAGCTTGGAGAAAAGACGACTGAGGGGTGACATGATCGAGGTTTATAAGATTACGCATGGGAAAGAGCAGGTAGAGAAAGAGGTACTTTTCTCCCTTTCTCACAATACAAGAACCCGTGGGCACTCCATGAAATTGCTGAGCGGTCGGGTTAGAACGGATAAAAGGAAGTACTTCTTCACCCAAAGAGTGATTAACACATGGAATTCACTGCCACAGGAAGTGGTGGCGGCTACAAGCATGGACGGCTTCAAAAGGGAATTAGATAAACATATGGAGCAGAGGTCCATCAGTGGCTATTAGCCACAAGGTATAGATAGGGGCTCTGGGGCAAGTGATGCTCTGTCTTCTTGGTGCTTGGGGGGGTCAACAGTGGGAGGGCTTCTAATGTCCTGGCCCCACTGGTGGACCTCCTGACTGCACTGGTATTTCTGGCCACTGTGTGACACAGAGGCTGACTCCGGAAAAAAACACTTCCCCTCCCCTGCATATCCCTAGTCATCTGAATAACCTGCCTGAGGATTTTCAAGGTCTCTCCCATACGGCCTAGAAACTGGAGAAAACTAACTGGGATTTTAAAAAAGGGTTTTCCTGAACTGTTTCTTTGCTTGTCGGACCTGCCTGCCTCCAAATGGCCCTTCCTCCAAGAGCGACACCCACCCCACCCCCAGGGCTCCTTTCCCCTCCTGCTACCAAGCTACGGGCTGTGCAGGAGAGCCACCCAAGCTCATCCATACATCTGTGGGATAACCAAATGCACGAGTCTGCAGAGCGTGAGGCTCTCGAGCACAACCAGAAGGAAATTTATATGTCTGGTATTTTCCCCAGAAGAAGAGATTGGATTTATACCCCGCCCTTCACTCGAGAGTCTCAGAGCGTCTTACAATCTCCCTCCCTGTAAGGTAGGTGCGGCTGAGAGAGAGCTGTAACTGACCCAAGGTCACCCAGATGACTGCAGTTGGAGGAGGAGTGGTGAATCAAACCCGGTTCTCTGGATTAGAGTCCACCACTCTCAACCACTACACCGAACTGGCTCTAGAGTCCACCACTCTCAACCACTACACCGAACTTGCTCTCCATTGAAAATACTGGACTGTCCAGGACAAAACTGGACATCTGGCAACCTTCATTGTTTCAGAAGTCAGAAATTAAAAAGACTCAAGCTAAGCTTGTACAATCACTTGTGACTGAAAAAGGCACTACATTATTTTTTTAGAAACAGCCACACTGTCCTGACAAAAATTTATGCAATACATCCTTCATATGATCACTCTCTTACACTAAACAACACTTAGCTCTGGAGCTTTAAATTACATTTTTTTAAATTTAAGCTTTTTATCATTTATGCATTAACCAACACACCATTTAATATTTTACATCCCTGCATCTTTTCTTTGTTTAATTGTCTCTCAGTATCAGATTAAATCTGATCACCTGGGAGGTGCATTCACACGGAAAACAATGTCGATTCCGGCATTTGGTGCTCCCCCCCCCAATCATATAAGGACTACGAGCAACACAGACCACTTTCTCTCACTCTGGCAGCACAGTGTGGGTGTAAATTTAGCTGCAAGAGGGAACTGCTGCTCTCTCCTGAATCCCCTGACACCCTAAACAAGGTCATGCACGGGGGGGGGGGGGGTGCCCCTAAACTACTAAACTGGACAAAGCTGGTGGCTGCATGTCTAGCCAAATCTGGCCCAGCTCTTGGAATTCACAAAACCAAACAAGGACCCACGGTAAGTAGGAAACCCAACATACAACAAGTACCATGCACAGATGATTATAAGGTAAAGGTAAAGGTTTCCCTTGCTCGAAAGCCAGTCGAATCCGACTCTAGGGTTGCGGTGCTCATCTCTGTTTCAAAGCCGAAGAGCCAGCGCTGTCCAAAAGACTTTTCCGTGGTCATGTGGCCGGCATGACTAAACACCAAGGCGCACGGAACGCTGTTCCCTTCCCACCGAAGTGGTACCTATTTATCTACTTGCAATTTCTTGCTTTCGAATATTTTTGAAAACTATTTTTTTTGAAAAAAATATAAAATGTTATAATCATCTGTGCACGGTACTTGTTGTATGTTGGTTTTCCAGCTCTTGGAATACCTTCTCAAAAAGGCATTACGTCAACAGGAGGGTTGACCTAGCCTGCCACTGCTCCTGCCCTCTCCGGAGGGAACCAATCTTCCAGAAGACACTTGGCATTATGCTGCCCAAGAAAGATCTTTTCCCCCGGGAGGCAGGAGAAGTTTGTGTAGATTGTGATTGCTTTAGGATGTCATTCCTCCATGAGGAATTGAGCAGAGAGGAAAGGAACGCCCTGTGTGTTTAAGATTCCACTGTCAGGAATGTGATGAGGCTACCAAGAACCCAGATGGCCCAGGCCAGCCCGACCTCCTCAGACCCTGGGAAGCTAAGCAGGGTCACCCCTGGTTAGTACTTGGATGGGAGGCCACCAAAGGAAGTCCAGGGTTGCTATGCAGAGGCAGGCCATGGCAAACCACCTCTGTTCATCTCTTGCCTTGAAAACCCTATGGGGCTGCCATAAGTTGGTTGTGAGTTGATGGCACTCACACACACACACACCCCACCAAGGAAAACCACTACTATTGTTACCTCTTCATTATCTTCATCCGGATTCACCTTCAGAGCACCAATATCCACAACACGCCAGCTGCAACACAGACCAGCAAATAAAAAGTGAGAGGCGGGGTCTTAGCACCAACTACAGCAGGAACAATCAAGAAAGAAACGTATCGCTTGCAGGAAAGCCCAAACTAAACAGTTCTCTGGTTAGAGGGGAAAATATTTACCACACTTTTATCTTGCCCGTCTTCCAAGGAGCATCGCGTGTCATGCATGGTGCTATCCTCACAACCGATGCTCCCTCTAAGCCAGTGATGGCGAACCTTTTAGAGACTGAGTGCCCAAACTGCGACCCAAAACCCACTTATTGATCGCAAAGTGCCAACACGGCAATTTAACCTGAATACTGAGGTTTTACTTTAGAAAAAACAACTCATACATTAGCTTAAGATGATCCAAACAAAGTAAGGAAAGCAATCCCAAATGCTTTCATTTACTTAAAATTATTTGGCAGAGAATTCGACACTTTAATGATGGTCTGGGCCTGGCTGGGGCGATGGCATGCGTGCCCACAGAGAGGGCTCTGAGTGCCACCTCTGGCACCCGTACCATAGGTTCGCTACCACTTTTGTGAGCAAAAATTCTACTTTGTGAACTGGTGGCATTCAAGTTCTGAGCGAGCGATTCGGCTGCTGCATAACTTAGTTTGCTCTGCAGCCACCCTTTCTGAGCTAAGACAAAACTGTGTGAGCCGGAGGCAAAAAAACCTGTGAGCTAGTTCACACTAACTCAGCTTAGAGGGAACACTGCTCACAACAATCCTATGAGTTTGGTTAGTTGGAAGCTAAGAAAATATGAGTGAAAGCTGTATTTGAAGGGGGAAATGTTTTAATAAATATTTTTTAGATTCAGTCATTTTAGCTTCATTACTTATGCTCTCTGTGTTTGATTGGAATGACTTCTGGCTACATACAATACATACTCTTTGTTCCCTGAGATTAGTAGGTTTAGACAATGATCTGTTTAATGCCATCCAGTGGCCAAGGAGAAAAAACTTGAACTCACATCTCTTCAACCCTCTGCTATGTCATACTGACTTTCACTTGTCCTACAGAGTCAACCCTTGTTTCCAGTCACACTTTCCCCACCCTGCCTGCATAATTTCACCTGTTTGCTAGTACTTTCTACCACTGAGTAAAACATAACACAGCCCTTCTCCAAGTACCCATTAAAGGAGGCAAGGCTGGTATTGACTGGGGACATGGCCTTTTCAGTGATGGCCCACATCTCTGGAACATTCTTCTCTGAGTTTCACCTGATGCCTTCACTACAGGTATAGAGGTGCCAGATGGAAGCTTTACTGTTTCATTCTGCTTTTGGCTAAGATTCTTCTGGCTTTACTCAGTTTAATTCCCCGAGGTGGTCATATCTGACATTCTGTAACTTAGTGACTAGTCTTTATTTTAGTATTTTTAAAAAACCTATTGCAAGCCACTTTGAAAAAAGGGGAACTTAAACCCTTTAATGAATACACACTCAAATTGAGAGCAATTTTCCTGGGGCACCTAGATTAAGCAAAATACTGTTGTCTGGCCCACCTTAAAACTGTCTGCTCCAAGACCTACACATCGATTCCACAGCCTGTCGATGTCATCCCACACCATCACTCCCGCATTAGCACAGGACGCTGCCTTACACAGAGTCAGATGACCGGTTTATTTAGTCCTGACTGGCAGGGGTTCCCCAAGGTCGCGGGCACAGATGCTCTTCCCCAACTCCTGCTGCTTCAGTTCCTTTGTAAAACGTAGGGGAAATACCAGGGGATCCTTGCAGCTGGAGATGCCGGACAGGTGTGAACTTCCTCCTCTTTTAAGGAGCCTCAAAGAGCACAGCCCCGACCCTCAGCTAATGCCTGCTGGGCACCCCCAAGTCCCAAAGGTACTCCGAAGGCTTCATCACTGGCATCCTGCTCAATCTCATACAAGTTGCAAGGTACTGAGGGTCTCCTAGGTTCTCCAAGTGTTTGCCCCCCCCCACACACACACCCCTCGCCAGGGCTTTCTTTGTAGAAAAAGACCAGCAGGAACTCATTAGCATAATAGGCCACACCCAATAGCAGAAACTCATTAGCATATTAGGCCACACCCCATGCCTTCTCTTGGCTTGCCGGGGCACCTGGCCAAATCCCCCCTTGAAGGGAAGGCAGTTTAAACTGCCTTCCCTTGGCTTGCCCAGGCACCCTGCGGCCCTTGGATAGGCCGGGGAAGGCACGGGGAGGCATTTAAATGCCTCCCCGATCCTTCCAGGGCCCTCCTGGCCCACCCGCCTCGGAGTTGCCGAGGGGGGTTGCTCTCCAGGCCTTCCCTCTGTAGACACGCATGTAGAGGTTTTGGCTGTAGTGGGCGTGGCCAACTCTGAAGCCAGCCGGAACTCCGTTCCTGTGCGTTCCTGCCCAAAAATAGCCCTGCCCCTCGGGCAAGCTGCCCATTTCCCATGATAAGAGTTTTCCTGAGGCCCATGTAAAATGTAGTCTCCACAAAAGCCTTGGAGAGCACAGTTCAAGTGGACTCCACGCCGAAGCTCCTCTGTCCCAGGCTGCCTACACAGTTTTCAGTTGCCACAGTATTTCTTCCAGTTTCATCAGCCAGCCCATGATATCATTTCCTGTTTGCTGAAGGTGGGTGATATGGGCTCAGGACACCTGGCAGCCACCACACGGCCAGCTTCACGTGTTCCAGCTGTCCCCCCTCCCCGCTCCCCCAGGTACAACGCCTAGGCTTCCTCCTGCCAGACAGCTAGAACTATCCACTTTCTAACCTCAACAGCACCTGCTGACTCACGTTTCCTCCAAGGCATACAAGGTTCTCCCTTCCTCCTCCCTGATTTCACAATACTGTTAGGTACGTAAATCTGGGAGGGAGAGAGAGAGAGTGACTGACCTACGGTCGTCCAACAAGCTTCATGGCTGAGCAGAGACTGGAACATGGGTCTTCCGAGCCTTGGTCTGACACCCTAACCCCTGCAGCACACTGGCCCTCTACCCTAAACCAGCGACCATTTGGAAATTTCTCATCACCTGGGAACGTGGCTCCCAGGGCCGTAGCCAGGATTTTCGACCTTGGGGGGCGCTTAAATAAGCCGGGGGGCACTGTGTCAGGAGCAGCGAGAGAGTAAAAGTTTTTAAAAGTGACAAGAGAAAGGGAGCAGTCGTGCCCCATGGTGTGCCTCACCCGCAGCCAGCCAGAGGTACACTGCCAGTAGGCAAGGCAGGGCAATGGCTTGGCTCAGTGCCAAGAGAAAGAAAATAAACCGACTGGATGGGAAGTCGAGAGGTCAGGGCATTAAGTCAGGGGGCCCGGCCCCGAGATGGCCCACGGTAGCTACAGGCCTGGTGGCTCCTGCGTTTCTTATTCAGAGAGAAAAAGGTCACTTTGAATAATTAAGATCTATTAGAAGAAACCCAGCGTAAGGAACTAAACATGAACGATTTTGACATCCAGGAGGCCACAGCTTCTCTACCTTTCCTCATGGCTGGTGCTCTAGTCTGTGTTTTAACTTAGCAGAACAATCAACCTGGCCCTAAGCAACCAATTAGAAAGCTACCCGGATCTGAATTGAGGACATCAAACTGTTTTGCAGCGCATACCTTGGCGTAAGGATTTCCTTGTACTGCAGTTTTTCTACACGAGTGGTTGCCGCGACAGACATAGGGATGACAATGTTATTAATGTCGAAAGAGCTTTCCCCTCTCCGCCTCCTGGGCTGCTGCTGCAAACAAGAACGGAACAAAAGGTAAGGAAAAAGGGTACGATGGAAGCAACTCCAAGACCACCAGACAGTAGCAGTACGAGGGGAGGAGGTGCCCAGCTAGCTTTCTTCTCTGCCCAAAGGCTGCATGTTGACTCTACTGGTGCATTTTTGGTGAAGAACAAGTCTCTGAAGCCGTCCCCTTCAATCCTTTCTATTACAAATCCTAAGGAAGTTGCTAAGCAATCCTGTACTATGACGGCAGTTTATTAGTCACCATTTACATCCCAGGCTTTCTGCAGGGAACTCAGGGTGATAGCTTTAGATCTCCTGATGAGTGGCCATTCCACCACGGGAACTTAAGTCCAGGGACATAATTGTGGGTCCTGTTCACCCAGCCTGCTGCCCTGGAACAGGAGTTTTTTTAAAAGTTCAAGGATGAACTTTCAGGGAGTTGTGACTCAGGTGCCTGTAGAAAGCTTGGGGGGCCCTGACTCATGTCCTCTGCAATCCTAGAATAAGCAATCATGTAAACTGTAACAAGGGTGATCGCTAATCGGCAGAACGCACAGCTCTTATGAAATTCACCAGATTAGCTAGTGCAATACTCCAGAATTCTTGTGTAGACAGAATCTGGCAGTTAGTTGCAGAGAGGCAATTAGCACATTTGGAAAAGAAAAGAAAAGCAAAGGAAGGTGCAAATGCTTTTCATCTTCCCTGTAGTTGAGATAACTCCAGAGGGCAGCAAGTCAGCACCAATATCAAGAATAACTAGATGGTGAAAACCACCCCATTCTCCCAGTCTGGGAGTTTTCTTCCCACTCTGTCTACAGTGTGAACTCCAAGAGAGTTGCTGCATATTTGAAAGAATTCCTAGATGGCCAAAGAACTATTAGAAAAAAATTCTAGGCCTTCCCTCTAGTTTTCAAACTGGGTTCTTGTTAAGTCTCTTATCCAATGTACCTTTTGGGTTATTTCCCCCAAAGCGACCAGGCCCATGAAATTTTCATACAACATATCCTGCCTCCTCCAACCAACCCATCCTCCCAAATCTCTGCTTTTGTGACGGTTTCCCTACTCCTTCCATATATCCATAGTAACTAAGCATTTTTAAATATTCAGCTCCTCATGTGATCTCACCAGCTCACACATTAGATGAGCAGAATGAGCCCTGCACACTGAGAATGCTGTCTTCTCCTCAATCAGCCGACGCAATCTCCAAAAGCTCCTCAGTGGCTACTTATCCACCTGTCAAAAATGCAGGCCTGGGGTTTTTTTTTAATGGCAGAGAAACAGGGAGACGGTTTCCTCAGGTACAGCTTATATAGTAGCAAGACCCTTCCACTCGTCTTCCAGTTTCGGTGGCCACCTGGCAACACATCCATATTTATTTCCCCATCTTCTCTAAGGGCTTAGCAGGTCATCATCTATCTGGTCCTCCTTATGTCTGCAAATACCTCTGGAAGTTAGGCCTCAGCTACAACTTGCACAATTATTTATTTATTTAAAACATTTTCATGCCACATTTCCATCCAATCAGGGCCCACAAGGTGGTGAGCACAGAAACATTAAAACATTTACACCATTAAAATACAGTTGAAAAATATAAAAATCCAATTAAAACATGTAAACAAAAAACACTAGGAAGGAGAGCCAAAAATGTTATTGGAGGTATGCCAGACAAAACAAAGAAGTCTCCATCTGCTGGTGAAAGACATCAATAGTGGGAGAGAGAGAATTCTCCCTGGGGAGGGAGTTCCAAAGGGGCATCACAACGAAGAAGCCCCTTTCTCAGATCACCACCTGTTGAGCCTCAGATGGTGGGGAGAACCAAAGCAGGGCCTTTGAGGATGCCATGGTGAGAATATGGGAGGTGGTGGTCCTTAAGGTATGTTGGTCCCATTCTGTACAGGGCTCTAAAGATCAATATCTTGAATTGAGCCTGGAAGTAAACTGGAAGCCAGTGTAGGGGCAACAAGCCTCTAGCGATAGGGTCCCTACTACCCACTCCAGGCAGGACTCTGGCTGCAGCATTCTGCACTAGCTGTAGCTTCCACACAGTCTTCAAGGGCTGCCACATACAGAGTGCCCTGCAGTAATCTAATCTAGATGTTATACCAGATTCTACAAGGCACCCCGGCCACTGCTGCCACCTGTTCATCCAACAGGAGGCCTCTGCATCCACGAGCAACCTCAAGATACAACAGAGTGCAACCCCATCCAGAACAGGGCACAACCCATTTCCTGGGTCAGAACTTCCCCCACTAGTAGCACCTCTGCTTTTCTGAGATTAAGTTTCAGCTTCTTAGCCCTCACCCATTCCCAAACTGCCTCCAGGCACCTGTTCACAGTTTCCACAGCCTCCCTAGTATCTGCTGGTAGAAAAAGCTTCAACAGAGATGCTGAAAAGCACGGGGGACTAGATGGAACCTTGGGGAAGCCCACTGTCATCTATATATAAACTCTGTGGCTACCTGGGGACATTTACACCCGTGTCTTTTTAGGTCTTAAATATTTTACCCTTAGGACAGTGCATGCTAGAAATGTAAACCAAGGCAAATATCTATACACACAAACAAAATCTTCAAGGAAGCTACTCATGATTTACCATAGCATCGGTGTCCTCCTTGCCCCCCTTAATCTGTATAAAGTAGACAAAAGTGGGTAAAAGCTGAAAACAGGCATCAGCTGCTGTTACAAGTAATCTTTAATCACAAAGGAACAGACACAAGAGATTGGCTGGGAGAGGCCATGCACAGGCCATAAGGGATTTAATGGGCCTCATTACAGTCCAGTAATGCAGGACAGCAGGATTGTTACACACACACAAGTCCTGCCACTGATTGGCTAAACAGAGGTCATCTGACAAGCATCTGTGGTCCTCCTTACTTAGGCATCTGAGGAGGCACACACAACAAAAACCCCACCACAGGAATCTCAAACATTTGTCAAGGGAGGTAGGAAGCACTGCGGTTACGAAAGACTAGGGCAAGTTATAATTTGCCATTAATTTATTTAGATTTAGGTATAAACAACAAAAAGAAATCAGAAAGAGAGAGACCTCTCTCTGAGTCACCTGCCCATAACACAGGAAAATAACCAAACTATATGTGCCTGTTTTTAGGCACAGGAATTGCCATCAGGAAGGAAGTTGGCACCCATTCTTAGAACAGACTGTACTCTAAAACTGACAGTCTTTGAAAGGCATTCTGTGCAGTCACATCAACAGGCCTCGAGCCTTCACAAAGTGTCATTCGGAACCTTCCAGAGCTAAGCTGGGAAACAATTCTATGCTCCCCCACACACACACACCTGGAGGCCAGGAACTCCCATGTGCTTGCACACGTGGGTAGATCAGTCATTCCCTATAAGATGCAGCAGGAAAAAGCTCTCCTGTTCTGTGGAAGAAAGGTGGGGCACATGACCACTTGAAGAGCATCAGGTCCAGGTAAGACACCTGCTCTTCTTTGTGGTCTGTGTGCATTTTAAGTGTTAAGATTAGCAAGTTGACCTATCTGAAGGCCCACAGGGCACTGAAATTGCTCTGCAGAAAACCACATACTTCATTCACCCATCTTACAGAGGTTATGATTATTAAGAAAATAACCGAAAACAGAGAAGAGTCTTGGACTGTGTACTGCCAGTGGTTTCAATGAGGGCTTCATAAACTGAGACAGAACCAACTGTAGATTCCACAAAGGGGTTGGTCAAGAGATTGGAGAGTAAATCCTGACCAATGCTCCCTCTAAGCTGTGGAGTCCTGTGAGCAAAAATTCTACTTTGTGAGCTATTGGCATTAAAAGTAGTGAGTGAGCCATTTGGCTACTGTATAAATTAGTTTGCTCTGGAACCATCCTTCCTGAGCTAAGACAAAAATGTGTGAGCCAGAGGCTAAAAAACTATGAGCTAGCTCACACTAACTCAGCTTAGAGGGAACATTGATCCTGACTATTCCCATTAAGAAATGTCTCATCAAACAATCTTCAGACTGAGAAGGGAGGTATGAAACTGTCAGTAGCACTGGCCAAGTTTGGAGCCAAGGGGAAATCACGCTGAATTTTGGTAGGTCCCTGGCTAGCAGCAACTTGTACCCAAGTGAGGGTTGTTTGTTGGAAACTAAATTAAGTAAAAACTTGTCTGTCTTGATTACTTTGTAAAGGTTTAAAGCAAATAAATAGATTTTTTAAAAAATGAGGTGGGCAAGAAGAAGGAGAAGAGATTGGATTTATACCCCACCCTTCACTACCCAAAGGTGTCTCAGAGCGGCTTACAAACTCCTTTCCCTTCCCCTCTCCACAACAGACACCCTGTAGGTGGGGCTGAGAGAGCTCTTGACAGAAACTGCTCTTTTTCAAGAACAGCTGTGCCAGAACTATGGCTTGCCCAAGGTCATTCAGCAGCTATGAGTGAGGGAGTGGGGAATCAAACCCGGTTCTCCCAGATTAGAGCCCACGCACTTAACCACTACACCAAACTGTAGCTTAGTGAGCACCTTGAAACTTACTGGCTGTACAGCCGGGGACGGTGTCATCGCTGCTGTTATGACACCGGAGGGGGGGGGGTGTTTGGTGAGGCTCAAACCTGGCATAATTCCATACAGGAAATAAATAAGGTGACTAATTTTTTTAAAATCTCTTCGTCTCCAAAAAAGGGAAATAAAAGAGAAAGAGTTGTCTAAACTATACATGGCTTATGAGCATGTCAGCAAGTCCCTTGCTTACAGCGACCTCGAGTTATTTGTCAGTTACAAAAAAGGAGAGAAAAATGACCATCCCGATAGCAGTGGCTGATGAATAGAAACAGAAGCAAGGTGTATGTTTAAGGAGCAAACAGCTACTCTCAGAGAATGCAAGATGGAGCAGGTGTTCCAAAACAGAGGCTACAGAGCATTGCATAAGGTTAATGTCTCCAGAAGCAGTGTAATAATGAAAATGCTCCTATTCTGATTTGTGTGAATGTCTAGCAGACAGCTTTTCTGGTGTTTAACAGCACGTCCTGAAGACGGGCCAAACAATTTGGGGTTGAATCTTCCTGGTGATGACATTGTCTATTTCTGAACAGACTTTCCCTTTGCATGGTGAGGGTCTGCTGTTTATGACTCTGGTTGTGAAAACAGTAATCAAGAAGTAAGAAAGAAACTATTTCTGGGTGGAGAATCTTGCCCTGATTTCAGGATAACGGGACCCTAGTTTGATGAGATGAATAAAGGCTCTCTGGCCAAGGACAGCAAATTTGCAAGCCACAGCAGTTATGGTCAGAAAGGAATTTAAAAGACTGCAGTATGCATTGTCTCTGAATTTTGTGGCATGCTTGTGGAACCCAAGGCAACTGAACAGGTAAATGAGGGGACCCAGACCAACTGGTTGTGGTGGCAATGGCCTCGGACGTTTGGGGCCAAACAGGAAGTTGACACTAGGGCTGAAGGGGGCTGGTAAACATGAGCCAAATGCGAGTGCCTTGTGATGGGAGTGGCAACCCCATGAACATGTTCTCAGCTTTGATCCCTACTATCTGTGTAACAAGCTCACTGAGAGTCACTGCAGACAGTCACGGGTTTGGCATGGAGAAGATCCTGAAGGTCAGTCCTGAGTTCTATGGTGCCAAAGCATGTTATGTCCGATGCCACATCTTCAGTTAGCTGTCAAATACGAAGCCAATCTACTACACATACAGAGACTCAAGGCGGCTTGGAATTCCAAAGCTGCCTTGCAGCTCGTCAGGGATCGATACTGTAACCTCTAACCTCTGTTACCATAGGAGCTGAGAAAGCCGTGGTAGGAGCTTCCAGGAAGTGGCTGCACCAAAGCGCCTGGTGGCAGCTCCTGCCATCTATCTTTATCTTTCCGCCTCTTCTTCGTTGGTTCTGAAGATGCACGGTACATTTTCCTGGACTGAATTCACCTTGAGTGAAAGTGCACCATGAGCTCATCGATCTCAGGTGGTTCAAAGCACAGGTTCAAGTTAAGGGTGTCAAAGATCAAGAAACAGCAGCAGGAGCAGATAATGACACTGTCAGTTCTCAGAGCCACCAAGAGTAGCCGAGAAAGGGATGCTGTCTCCCAACAATGTCACGCGGTCCCAAAGAGCTGCCTTCAAACAAAGGGAGTGTAATTCCAACAGGCTGGCTTTATACATTTGAAAAGATGTGTGCAAGATCCCTCCTTTATACATTTGAAAAGATGTGTGCAAGATTCCACCTTGTGCTCCTCCCTCCGGCAGACAGGGCAGTAATCAGGCCTGTCGGTGCTCAACGGTTTTCTCTAGCTCCTTTGAAACCTGCAGTACCACAGGTTGCCTGCAGTACCACAGATGGAGAAAAGGAGGGGTAAGAGGTGAGACGGCACAGGAAAGAAGGGCCGATAATACCGCACCAGAGAAAAGTCACCACAATGCTTCCACTATAGTGGCTGAAGAGGCACTGAGCAGAAGGGGAAACTGCTCCACCCACTCAGGCGTGTGTGTAGGTGGTTCCACCCCTCAGGGGTGGGCACAGCCCCACAGCTTTCCCCCCAGCTTCTCTGGAAAATTCTGAAAACTCTGCTCGGGTTCAAGCCCCAGAAGCACAATGCACAGAGACCAGGAAGAAGAAATCCAAAAATTCTAAAAACAAGCATGTAAATAAAACATCAAGCAAAACATCTATGAAATTGTTAATACCCAATCTCGTTACTAGCTTACCCCAAAGATCTTTCTAGCTTTGCCTAAAGATTCTGTCTCTGGTAATGGAGCCTCCCGGGACAGGCAGGTCTAACTTGAAGAGTGGCCAGGGAAGAATGCCTCTCCGCACACCTTTGTTTCAGGGGTGCTAACTTAAAGTAGGGCTTGTGAGTGAGGCAGAGGCAGCAGGCAATCTTGAAGGAATGCAGGCCACACTGGGCAATTCCAGAAAACCGACAGCCACCTGAGCCCCTGAGTGTTCCAGAGTCAAAAGCCAAGCAAAGGCAAAATAAAGCCCCCGAACTTAATAATGGACGGGTGCCGTGGCACCATCAGAGCATACGTCAACATGACAAGCTAACAGAGAACATGGGTGGTGGGGCAGAGCTTTTTCCAAATCCTTGATGGAGGACTCATGAATGCAGATTAGATCCAACATCTGGCCAAAGAAAGGTCCACTCGTCACCAGATGCACCTGCAGTCTCTTTGGTCTCAACTGGCTCCCAACCTCAGCTCTCCTATTGGCTGAAATTCATACGTAATACATGGACCAACCCCAATCACAACATATTGTGTTGGAAAACAACCTAAGTCTGTTAAAGCTGAGGACGCAAACCCCAATCACAACATATTGTGTTGGAAACCAGGGAGTCCCTTCAGCCTAAGTCTGTTAAAGCTGAGGACGCGGAGTTCTGACTCCCATCTCCTTCTGCCGGACTCCCTTTCACCCTCTGTTGGAGACTGCTAACCCACCTTAAAGCGACTTTGCCACACCAGTACCTCACTTCAGAAACTTATACCAACCAAACCTGGCCCTGCAGCTAGCCTCAGACCCATAACTTAGATGAGTGGCTCTCAGCCACTCTCTTGAAAAGAACGGATTGGCAAAGAAGAAGAAACCTGGGTCGCTTCATACCCCCATGCAGGGCAACCGTTCTTGGCACGAGTGACCCTTCACCAAGTACTTACAGATGCACTGGAGGCACCTAGGGAGCTTGTGCTGGCCAGGGTGGAGTTTTCCGAGGAGGTGGACAGCTGCCGCACGATGGGACTGTGAGCCGATGAGGCCATCGCGCCCGACAGGTAGCTTGGGCCTCCGATATCCGCATGGTGCTTCAACACTGTGTGAGAAGGGGACAAAAGAGAAAGTGAACTGAGTGGCGTCTTGTTGTCACCACAACGCACCGAGCCAACCTGCAATCAAGTGACCTATGCAAAAAGAACCACAGACAGCACAAGAGAGAGGAGCCCTCCTTGGGCCGGACCTCCTTCGCTGGAGGAGGAAGCAGTGAAAGCACACCAGAAGAGAGACGGCAGCACCTGACACCATGCCCCTTTTAACTCCCCAGAAGCAGCAAGCACCCTTCTCCAAAAGCCGAAGGGGGGGGGGCAGTGCGAAACCCAAGCTCTCCCCAAACAGACCGGGCTGTGGGCCAGCCTACCTTCACTTCTCTCGGAGGAGCTGTCCCGTAATCGCTTCCTCTCATGAACTGAAGTCAGGATAAGCGAGCGCTCTGGCGCTCTCTCGGCCTTGGGAGCGGCCCTTAGATCGTCTAAGGACTGCCTGTGTGCCTTGTCTGGCTCGGCTTTGTGATGTGAGCAAGCTGAGGAGTGGAACAGAAAGAGAGCCATGAAAACACCCTGCTTTCACCTCTCTTTCCTGGCCTGTGAAGGACACACAGGGGGCTGGTGCTGCAGACATCGAGAAAGACACCCTGGCCTGTGAAGGACACACAGGGGGCTGTGCTGCAGACATCGAGAAAGATACACACACCCCGCCGCCCCAAGGCTCATGTGAGAGCACTGTTGTGTTAAACTCCACAACAAAGCAGAGGTGTCATTAGCAGTCACGGGCCCCCACGTGACAACCTCCACGGGCTTATTCTTTCCCCTGCTGCTGCCTCTCCCTGGTCTTACTCCACAAAGCAGCTGTGCTATTCAGAACTGCCTGTTTCACCCCCTTACAGCTGTAGTGGCGATGGAATTGGGGGAAAGGAAATGAGGCAGGACTATCTCTGCCACTGTCCCAAGTGTCCCCATAGTGGGGGAGAAGCAGGAGGGCGAGGGGAGACAGTGGGTAAAGGGAAGGTGAACAGCGACTGCCTTCCTGCCCAAACAAAAACTAACGTATTTGTAAGGCTAGCAACAGTGCAGAGCTCCACGGCTGCCCCCTACCTTACGGTGGCTTTTAAGGCCTACTTTCCATTCTCCACAGCTCGCATCTGTGTGACACGATGTTGTGGCAGAGCCTATTTTCAGCGCCAGTGTCCCGGAGCACACGAAAGGGTGTGTGTGTGCACCTCTAAACTAGTGCCGAGTGCCCTTTTCACACCAACCAGCTATAACCGACCCATATACACCTGGCTTGGGCAGGAGATCATCCAGGTCAGACAGCCGAGCCCCATTACCTCTCGATACACTTGATCTGCCCTAATCTTCTGGGGAGAGGAACTATAACTCGAGGGCAAGGCACACGCACTTTTAAAACTAAAGTAACAAGTTCAGTACTGTGTATCCCCAGTAAAATGGATCCCAAGTGGCCAAGTTAAGACAGAACTCTGCCCAAGAGGTAATGCAAGTTAAAACAAATAACTGAGCAGAGCCCCAAGCGATCTCAGTGACGTAACTCATTTTCTTCCCTTCCCTTCCTCCATGCAATGTCTTGAAAAATGGTTGTACGCGACAGTCTTTATTATGTTTCCCTTTCCAGTGCCCCTATTAAGTCAGGGCTCGGCAAATCCAGGTCACCATGGCGCCAAAAGCTGTGGAGTGCCAAGGCCGGTCAATGGCATCATACACATGTAAAGATACATGTGGTATGTTCAGCTGTGTTCTTCTCTAAAACATCTGACTATTAATGGCCACGATCTGACCTTCATTTTCAGATAAAGCTACACAGCTGCTCTCCAGAACTGCTTGCATGGGCTAGGTCACATTACTAGTGTTTTACTTCCAAAAATAGATGGGGGGGGGTCAAACCTGCCGAGGAGTTACCTCTGACCTGGAAGCCCTGCTCCACATTCAAAGATCAGAGGCACTCCCTTAATGGCTGTTTCACAGATTCCAGGGATGAGTTATGGCATTAATACAAGATCAAGCAGGGCCCTGCTCATATCAGCAATGCATAAAACCTACTCTGTTACTGGACACCTCCAGGAATGGTAGGGCACTTTGTGCCAAAGCAAGACAAAAAAATATTAAGTTACAAGGACACTTACTGGCTGCAGCTAAGAACGTATTAACGAGCTTGTGGCGGTCCTTGCGCACCGGGTCAGACAGATTGCTAGAAGGCATGGTGGGTCGATGCTTCAGGGTGAGCTTTTTGGGAGGTTTGATTTTCTCACAAGGCTTGTTCTGCAGTTGGGATTTCAGCATGCTCTGAAAATGCAAACTCATCGGTACATCTGGAAAAGAATACACACACAAAAGGCTGGAATTATTACATGCTCACTTGTAATTAATTTCAAATGTGAAACAGTGGGAGTACGCTCCCTGAAGGCGGCCCATATATGTGTTTGGCCTGTAGATCTTACAGGTGACCATCGAGGTGACTAGCACTGCATGGCTTCCAGCAACTGAAGAACGATCAGATAACTCTGTACTACTTTAAACCCCAGTTCATAACCACCCTATTGCCAGCCCTCTCCAAATCATTCCCATGATACACCGCAGACAGTTTGAAACGCTTCACAAGCAGAGAGCTCCACATGACTCAGATGAGTCAAACAGCATGATATAAGAAAATGCCAAGGTCACAGGTGAGAAACAGTAAATAACTCATTAGCTATGACAGTCAAGTATTGAAGGTGGTGCGTGCTTGATGCCAAACAAACTAGCGCACACCTGAGCTCTCCACTAACCAAGAGCATATGTCGCAACCAGAAGTAGGCAAAAGAAGTAGACTTGTGCATACATACTCTGCAAAACTTATTCTACTTCCAACATGCAGATAGCGCAGAGTGTGAGAAGTGGTACGGAAGGAGAGCTCCGTCTCTACACATGAAACATGAGAATCAAGCCCATGCGTGGAGGGAAGAAGCAGGATGGTGGGGGTGCAGCAGCCGGCTCTCTTTGCTGAAGGCCGGGGTCTTCCTCACTAGTCAACAGCAAGCACAAAGCTGGCTTGGATGCAATTATTTATACGGATCTTCAGACTGCAGGAGCTGCCGCTACACATTTCAAACAATGTGAAAAGGTGACTCTGAGAGACACCTGGTGAGTGAGAAGCCCCCCCCCCGGGGGGGGGCAGTCCTGAGTAGTGATGAAATATTTTAAATTATGACTATGGACATTTTTACTTGGCATGAAATTATCACAACTAGCATATTAAAAATATAGTGTATCCAAACAATTATTTCAAACAGAATACCCACCCACATGCAAAAACAAAACTGAAACTTTTTTATTTTCTTCTGACAATCGCACCTCCGAAAGGAAGAAATGCATCTTGTTCTTGCATTGGAGGGTTCAGTTTGTAACCTAGGACTTGCTTGTCCTCAGTGCACAGAAATTAGATCAATCTGATACCATATATATATTTTAGAAATGATTTGGAAAACATTTGAACACCTTGTCTTAAAATATTTTATTCATCATGTTAAAATAAAACGTTCCATAATCAATTTTTTTTTCTTTTTTCAATTTTCCCAATTTTTTGGGAAAAAACAAAAAGGCTTCAGGAAAAAAACGGGGGGAAATTTTTCCGTTTTTTTTCCCAGGCCTTCACATCTCTAGTCCTGAGCCTGGTGCTCAAAGAGTCAGCAGTCTCCTCAGCTTAGCAGCTCTCCACAAGAGCTGGTTTGTGTAAGATACACCAGCAATTGTCTTCTCCTCTCAGTCTCTCTTCGGAAGCTGACTACTGTCTAATAGCCTTAGGGTTGGAGCCAGCCAGGTTTTTTCACTCCATCTTGCCCAATTCCCCTCCTTATTATAGCTCCTGTCCCATATGGATTTTGTCCACACAGTCAGCTCAATCCTTCTGGGTGCTCAAAGGGGACTCCCACCACCCTTTTCCACCTGTGGAAAAGCTGGCTGGATCCACCTCATGTTCTCTTAAAGCACACTCCATCTAAGGCCTGGCCACACAGGCGCCTGGAGAGTGAGGGAAGCTTCTGTGGTGAAGAACACAATGCTCAGGAAGAGAAGTGCGACCCCCCCCCCAAAAAAAGTGTCTTGTCATACCAGAAATCACCAGGAGTGCATATCCATCCATCCATCATCTATCCATCTATCATCCATCCATCTATCCATCCATCCATCACTGTTCATACAGCAGAAAATAAAATAATAAAAAATAATGCCTTACTTGATATTCTGTGCAAATCTTTATACAGACTGCCTACAGCTTTAGGAAATCACCTTTTCCCCTCACAATTGTTTATGCCTTAACATTTAGCGTTCAGATACATGCTTCACTCCCTTTTAACGTAAGAAGAACCCTGCTGGATCAGGCAAACAGTCCATCTAGTCCAGCATCCTATCTCACACAGTGGCCAGCCAGTTCCTCTGGAGGGCCAACAACAGGACATAGAGGCCATGCCCTTCCCCTGATGTTGCCTCCTGGCTCTGGGATTCAGAGGATTAGGGCCTCTGAATGTGGAGGTTCCCCTCAGTCACTATGGCTAGTAGCCACTGATAGACCAAACCTCCCTGCATCTATCTAATCCCCTTTTCAAGCTGTTTATTTCTGTGGCCATCACCACACCCTCTGGAGGTGAATTCCACATTTTAATCACTCTCTGTGTAAAGTCGTATTTCCTTTTGTGCATCTTGAACATACTGCCCATCAGCTTCATGGGATGCTATCGACATCTAGCATTTTGGGAGAGGCAGAAAAAAAATATTTTTGTCACCTCTCTCCACCCCATGCAAACCTCTATCCTGTCCCCCCTTAGTCATCTCTTAACCTGAAAGGACCCCAGAGTCTTCAGCCATTCCTCAAGGGGAAGGTGCTCCAACCCCCTCATCATCTTGGTTGCCCTCCTCTGCACTTTCTCCAGCTCTGCAATGTCCTTGTGGAGATACAGTCACCAGAACTGTACACAGTATCCCAAATGAGGCCACACCATAGATCTATACAGGGGCATTACAATATCGGCTGTTTTAATCGCAATCCCTTTCCTAACGATCCCTAACACAGAGTTTGCCTAATAACAACAACAATGTAGAGCTACCTTGAGCAATCATCCTTTTGGACTGACTTTCCCCGAACCGGAAGCCCCCCCAGCTCTTGTTGGCTCCCCCCACCCCGGGATTAGTTTGAAAGGTGCCCTGCCATCTTTTTGATATTAATCACCAGCAGCCTGGTTCCCTTTTGGTTCAAGTGGAGCCTGTCTCTTTCGTACAGGTTCGGCTTGTCCCAGAAAGTCCTCCAGTGCCTAACAAATCTAAGCCCTTCCTCTTGGCACCACTTTCTCATCCATGCATCGAGACCCTTGACCTGTGCCTGTCTAGCTGGCGCTGCGCGTGGAACTGGCAGTGCTTCTGAGAACGCTACCTTTGAGTTCCTGGCCTTTAACTTTCTGTCTAGTAACCTATCATTTTCCTCCAGGAGCACACGACTACATGTGTGCTGTATGACTGCTGCCTTCTCCCCCATACTACCTATTCAACCTATTTATTCCCATCTGCTTGTCCATACCCCAATGATGAGCAGCAGCGGCTAGCTGACTACTGTGCCTATCATGGCAACAATAGATGGGTGACTTGGAAAGACGACTTCTTTTGAGGGAGCTCCGGTATGACCGAAGCCTGAGGGATCCTGGGCTAAAGAGCGTGAAGAGAACACATTGCCTCTTTCTCATCGACGAGGTTCATAAGAACATAAAAGAAGCCTATGTTGGATCAGGCCAATGGCCCATCCAGTCCGACACTCTGTCACACAGTGGCCAAAAATACCTGGTGCCATCAGGAGGTCCAGCAGTGGGGCCAGGACACTAGAAGCCGTCCCACTTTTGCCCCCCCCCAAGCACCAAGAATACAGAGCATCACTTGCCCCAGACCGAGAGTGGCTAATAGCCACCGATGGACCTCTGTTCCATATGCTCCTGTGGCAGTGAATTCCATGTGTTAATCACTCTTTGGGTGAAGAAGTACTTCCTTTCATCTGTTCTAACTCGATTGCTCAGCAATGTCATTGAGTGCCCACGAGTCCTTGTATTTTGAGAAAGGGAGAAAAGTACTTCTTTCTCTACCTGCTCTATCCCATGCATAATCTTATAAACCTTGATCATGTCACCCCTCGGCCGTCGTTTCTCCAAGCTAAAGAGCCCCAAGCGTTTTAACCTGTCTTCATAGGGAAAGTGTTCCAACCCTTTTATCATTCTAGTTGCCATTATCTGCACTTTTTCCAATGCTATTAAATATCCTTTTTGAGGTGTGGTGACCAGAACTGTAGACATTACTCCAAATGGGTAAAGAAGACTGAAGCAGGTCAGTCTGACCTAAAGGACAAGAGCAGGGACTTAGGGTAAAAAGGTCATTTAAACAGCAAGAGAGCAGCTGATGAGAGAGATGTGGGCTGCAGATATTAATAGAGAAAAACTTGGGTGCCTATCTGGGGCAGGGGGCGCGAGAAGAGAGAGACAAGAAGCCCTGTGAGTATATTCCAAGCCATTTTTAACCACAGCTATGTACAGAACAGGGGAAGCCAAAGACTAACAGTTAGATGTACAGGTATCACAGACGGCTGAACTGTGAGTGGGCAAAACTGTGAATGCACTGCTGATTAAGACAAGCAACTCTCTCTGATCTGCCAGGCCAGCTGAAGACGCATCTGTCTAATTTACTGCTCCTCAATCTCCCTGCTGCACTGTAAACCAATGTCTGATTGCGCCAAAACGGCATCATGACCTGTGTGCGGTGTGTGTGTGTGTGGGGGGGGGGTTTCTCTCTCCAGCTGAAAGCAGGTCTCTTGAGGACCCCCAGATGGCGCTCTTTTAGCAGTTTTCAAAACCCCAGTTAACATCTTTTTCAGGAAGGTTGTTATGATGTTATTACGTCATCTGGAAATTTCCAGTCAGAAACCAATTTGTCCAGACGGGGGCAGAACACCTTATGAACCGACTCTTGTAGTGGAGTGAGAACCAGCAGAAAGCAAGAGAGACAGAGAGAGAAAAGGCAGAGAGGGACAGAGGTGCCTGCCTGCTTAACTGTTTAAATAACACCTAGTCTCTAGCAGTGGATGTCGTGCAGTGCAGCCACTGAGAAACTAGGTCAGGAATGGAGCAGGTAGAGAAAGAGGTACTTTTCTCCTTTTCTCACAAACCAAATTCTTTTGCAGGCCACTCTTGAACAGTCATGGCCCAGCCTCAAGCGGCTTTCTGACCACGTCCATGACGTGAGAATCAGACAAACGGAACCCCCGGCCTGCACAGTGTCCGCTTCCAAGGGCACAGGCAGCGACCTGCTGGCATGGGTGGATGACCGGACAGCCGCAACGCCCTGGACTCTCTTCCCCAAACTGGACTCTCTCTGCATTCCGCTCTCCCCAAATTGAACACGAGGCCTTTCAGTCGAGGATCTGTCTTACCGTCTGGGAATGAGAGAACCGGGTGGATGCAGGAGTCCAGCTGTGAAAGACGTTCCATCAAAGGGGCTTCGTACTGGATTTCTGGAGGCACTGAGCTGCGAGTGCCGCAGAGAGCGCATAAGGGATTCACGTCACAGTTGCACCGCCCCGTGCTATTGCGATGAACCTGAACACAAGAAGGGGTGAGGAAATGGTCCAAATAACGTCAGAACCAGCATCCTGGCCAGTCTCCCTGCCTGCCTTAATGTTGAACACAGCCACTGAAAGCGCTTTGGATTGTGCCTCCAGAGAAGGTAGGCGGACCCATGACAGCCAGCTGAACAGCAACACACCAGACCGTTTCTTGGCACACAGGGCTGGATCTCCACTTAGGGCACTGAGGCACAGCCTGGAAGTGTTGTAAGAGCCACTAGGGTTCACCTTGCTCTCACTGTAAGTTTGCCATGGGCTATTCTATCTCATTCACTCCCCCCCCCGCCCCCACACATCAACTTCGTTTCCTGGTGCACCAGCATCTTCACTTATAGACATTGTGGGAATCCGGATAATACAGGCCAAAAAACTTACCTGCCTCCAGCCTAGCTCAACTCTTAAACTAACAAGTTTGGTGCAGTGGTTAAGTGCGCAGACTCTAATCGGGGAGAACCGGGTTTGATTCCCCACTCCTCCACTTGCACTTGGGCTGGATGACCTTGGGCAAGCTGTAGTTCTGATAAGAGCTGTTCTTGAAAAAGAGCAGTCCTTGAAAGAGCTCTCTCAGCCCCACCTACCTCATAGGGTGCCTCTTGTGGGGAGGGGAAGGGAAAGGAGTTTGTAAGCCGCTCTGAGACTCCCTTGGGTAGTGAAGGGCGGGGTATAAATCCAGTCTCTTCTCTTCTTCTTCTCTTATCACTTTGGGTGAACTGAGAAGGGTTGAAAGGACAGTTTGTGCTCGGCAGCCCAAAACGTCCCGGATGAAGCCAACAATGCTGGTTTATCCTGTTTAGGTACCAGCCTCTTAACTGTAGAACAACTGTTGTCCCACAAGATCTCTGGGAGAAGCTAGCCAACACTCAGATCGTTGAGGGGGGTCATGTTGGGGGGGGATTCACAAATATGCAAAAGATATTCTTGTTCCACATCATAATGTTCTGATATGTGGAAGCACCAACTTCACCCCTTCCTAATACCAGGAAGTGACCACGATTCTCTCCCCACAGGAAAAATTCACATTTTCGTTACCCTACATCACTAAATGGTTATGTAAGCAACCAGGAACTGCTTTTAAATTTGCACTTGATTACAAAAATAGAACAACATAGAGTAAGGTAGGTTTCCAGAGTTCATCATTCTAACGGAAAATGCGTATTTCCTGCATTGACACACCACGTTACCCACATTCTTACCTAAAACACAGGCCAATGGTAGACACACACAAAAGAATCTAATGGCGTTAATTGTGAAAAGCTTTCTAAGAGCAAAAACCATTGCACAACTCCGTGCAAACACAGAAAGAGCACATTCGGTATCAGGCAACAGTTCAGTGTCCTGAGCAGTGTTCCCTCTAAGCTGAGTTAGTGTGAGCTAGCTCACAGTTTTTTAGCCTCTGGCTCACACATTTTTGCCTTAGCTCAGGAAGGAGGGCTCCAGAGCAAACTAATTCATGCAGTAGCCAAATCATTCACTCACAACTTTAATGCCAGTAGCTCACAAAGTAGGAGTTTTGCTCACAAGACTCCACATCTTAGAGGGAGCATTGGTCCTGAGAGTCTGAAGTCCCTTTGTTTAACAGCAGCAAGTTTCCAGCCCTCGTGATGGCAAAGGGAGGCAGAGCACCACATAGATCACCCTGATGCAGCAGACCACAGACATCTTTGCCTACACGTGTCCCGTTAATTCTGCCTGAACAAAACACTTCTGAGCTCTCTCTTCCGTTAATTCTGCCTGAACAAAACACTTCTATTGCGTCCTCCTGATCTCCCTCACCTGTCCTAATGTATCGTTCCCACCGTACAAATGCAAGCCAAGCCCTGGAGCCTCCTAGGTAAGAAAAGCATCCCTTTATCATTTACACAATATTTCCCTTTGCAATTTTAGAACTCTTATTACTGCCTCAAGAATTCTGCATGGGATACCTAGTGTTGTGGGGACAGCCCCCCTGGAGCTCAGGGGACAGTTGTTGCCAGGAAAAGAAAGCCCCTTCCCTCTAGGTCAGGATACAGGATTGCTTGCCCACCTTCTCCTCTTCACCCAAGACGGTAGAGCCACTGCTTGGGAGATCAGGAGGACTCATTATCTCAAATTTTTATACATGCATTACAGAGGAAATTAATAATGTAAAAGGGAGGGAAAATCCAGTCTACTTTCACCCAGTAGTTCTGCTTTCGTTCATCACTTCCCCCTCTGCCCGTCTTTATTACCAATAAAACAATTCCCATTATCCAACAAAATGCAGAAACGACCAACTGACCTTTTTGGAGAGTGGTACCAGGGTGCTGGGCCGAACGAGCCGTCGTTTCTTGCAGCTGAGGACAGGGCGGGTGCGGGCTGCTACACAGGTTCCATCAGGAGGCAAAGGGACCAGGTTTAGCCTCTGTTTTTTACGCAGCAACTCCTCTGCATCTGAGCCGTCTCCCTGAGCATGCTCTGTCAAGCCGGGCTGTAGACTGCCCAAGAACAGACATTTTATTAGCCATTTTTGTTGTGCTCTCGCTCACAACCGCCCTGTGAGAGCTGAACTTACCAAAGTGTTGCCATTTTGCCCAAGGCAGCCTAACAGAGTCGTGCATGCAAATGACATTTAAAACCAGGTCCAATAACATACAGAACAGGCAGGTTTTCTACACCTCACGAGTTATGGCTCCTCAGTTCCTTTTACCCTCATTCTCTAGCTTGCCCTTCCTGCCTTCAGCTTCTTGCTGGAAAACGTTCACTGCATCACATTCCCTACCCTTTTTGTTCTCTTTCCTTGCTTTTGTTTTACACTTTCTGCCATGTTCTGCCTAGAACACTCTCCCACTAACCTGGTTTCCCCCAAATCTTCCAAATTCCTCACAAACGTATAAAATCTCTTCAGTCCAGTGCCACCTTTAAGATCAACAAAGTTTGTTCTTCTGCTTCAGATCAATACGACTACCCCCACCTGAACATAAAATAGGGTTGCCAAGTCCATCTTCCACCACCAGCGGGGGACTTTGGGGGCGTTCCTGGAGGGGGCGGGGCATACCTGACGTGATGACGTCACATTGGGGACGTCCACACACACCCCCACTCACCCGCGCGCCAGATCTCCAGAAACGGCAGTTCCCTGCACTTAAAGGAGCTGGCGTTTCCCCTTTAAGAGCAGCCGTGTTTCCCATTTAAGTGCACGAAGCTGGCATTTTCCTGCAAGCCTGATCTCAAGCTGAGATCGGGCTTGGGAGGAAACACGGGTTCCACACACTTAAAGGGAGAGAGAGGGGTGGCTGTGGGTGTTGGGCTTCCCCCGCTCGCCATCTGGCCGCCGGCGGGTAGAACCTCCCCCCGGGAGGGTTTGGCAACCCTAACATAAAATCCTTGTTTGGATTATCACTACCTCACCTTTTCCCACCAAACCCACTTCTACCCAATTTTTTCTCATTAACCAACCTCTGCCTCATTCTGCCTTCCTGTACCCTTAAGTCCTACACACTCACCTCTTCTCTAGACATTTAAGACTTCTTGTAAAGAAAGAAGCTCACGCATAAAAATCCTACAAGCACTGGAACAGCAGCATTTGCACAGAGGTATAAGTCACAGTATATTTAGGATCTTGTTGAAAGTACACTTTCAGAGAAGTCATTCCACAACATGTCTTTTGTCCCAAGAGGGACATCTGTAAGATCCTTACGTGTTTATGACGCCATTGACCGGCCTCGGCACTCCACAGGTTTTGGCAGGTAGGGACTCTTGGATATTGCCAACAGACGTACAAAAGTTCTCAGGCGGCTGAGAGACTGAAGTGCCCTGCAGTGATGAGGGGGAAAGTGTGTCAAGCGTTACAGTACTCCTAGATGGCAAAAACACCTCTGCTGGTAAACTGTGGCACTGGAATTATCTGGAACCAGGAGACGGGGCATTTAAACTCGTGTTTTGCTTCCAAGCAACAGGGCGTTCATCAGGCTGAAACATGGTTTGGTGACTTCAAAGCCCCAACAGCAATTCCCTTAGCCTTCAGAGAAGCATCACAAGAGCTCTTCAAGAGAGCTTAGGTAGCCGGGCAGGTTTGTCTTTTTTAATGATTAGTTCTTTACACCTCATAATCTATTGCTTGCTTATGAGAGTTCACACGGCATTAATTTTATTAAAAGGTATTGCTGCTTGTGTAACGTATCAAGGCTAACACACCTGGTGAGTTCCTGGACAAAACATAGACCAGGAAACTAGTCAAAAAGTTGTACACCTCTTCTTTCTCGTGGGGGCGGGGGGGGGGGGGGGGGACATTACTCTTCCGTGTAAGCATTTTCTCATATTTTCAAACTCTACATATGTAAATGAGTGCACTTGAATTGCTTTTCAGCTCCACTAAACATAGGGTTGCCAACTCTGGGTTGGAAAATACCTGGGGACTTTGGGGGTGGATCCAGGAGAGGGCGGGGTTTGGGGAGGTGAGGGGCCTCAGCATGGTACAATGCAATAGACTCCACCCTTCAAAGCAGCCATTTTCTCCAGGGGAGCTGATCTCTGTCAGCTGGAGATCAGTTGTAAAAATGGGAGATTTCCAGGCCCCACCTGGAGGCTGGCAGCCCTAACTAAACGCTTCAGTTCTGTTAAAAAGACATTGGCTTGAAGGGCATCTAAATGAAGATATGAGATTTTTCTATGTTAAGACTGGGACTTTGGATACTATTGCTCATATGTGCTATCGTAATTAATTAATGTTTGTCTTTTTTATTTGAATACTTTATATATTAAAGGCAAATGATATTTCAAGGCCAACAGTATAAATAGGACGTTCATTATCTGGGGGGAATTATGAAGGGGTCGCGAAGAGTCGGACTCGACTGTGCGACTGAACAACAACAACATGAATATCTGTCATCCAAACAACATCTACTTTCCATCTAATTCAGGAACAGTGAGTAGTATTCTACCATCCACATATACCATAAGGCACACAGAGTTCTCCCAAATTCAAGGGGGTGGAACTGCTGCCTTCTAATCAGCACAAAGCTGCACATGTGGAAAAAGGAGGAGGAGCAATTTCAGCTCTTTATTCTTTCCCTTCTTCAGTGTCTTGACCTGCGTGGCTCTTCCTCAGCATGGATCCCATGGCCTTAGAAATGATCGTTCCAGGGGTCAGAAAGAGCAGCGGCAATGGGAGAGAACATGGGACATGACACCCTCCACACACAGAGTGGTAGGATACTGCTCAGCAATGAGTATCTTCCTTGCTTTTGGAAAGTTCTGGGTACTTGGCTCACAGTCCAAAACACCTAACTCTGTACTGTGGCTTTGGCCCTTGTCTTCAAGGAACTGTGCTTAGTGTCCTTCCGTGTGAATACAAACAGAAATAGCCATTAATTACAGCATCCCTTTACTTTCAAGCAGATTCAATCATATAGTGAAAGTGGAATGTTAGCTGCAGGACCAGAGGTTGTGGATTATGTTCTCGGGTAGGCCAAGTACTTCATTACCCACACAAACCAAACTGTTTCACATTGTTGCGTCAACAATTAATATGCACTCTGATGCAGAAAGTGCATGAAACGCAAAATGGGAAGCTTAATTTAACTGAATGATTTTATACACCCCAACTGTTCCAATTCAGCCAGGGAAGGACAATTCCTTCACAGCCCTCCCCCATGGAAAAACCCCCCATGCCAATGTTCCAATTTTGAAGCAGTTGCTCCACTACCATTTCGATGTCACTGTATCATATATCCATGGCAGCTCAAGGCTACAATGCACATCCCATCTACCGAAGATGTATTATTTTTATGTCCATTAAATATAATGGTGATGCCAAAATCTTTCACTGCTGGTGCTTCGTCATCCTGAATCTTTCCCCCAAAAATTGCTACATGCAAATCAGCACCTTTCCTAATCCACTGATATTGAGAAAAGCCACTGGCGCTGGGGAGGAGTTTGGACACGCAAAGTGCTTGCTTCAGCTTTCCACCCACTTCCTTAATTTAAACTGCATTAGAATGAACATTTAAAATGAAATTGCACAGTGAAATAAGATACACGTTTAATAAAAAAAAATGTAAGTCATCTTTATTTTGTGAACTGAGCAGCTAAAACAGGGCAAAGTGGAAGGTGGCAGAGAACAGAAACAGGGAAGAGACTTTTGGGCGGAGGGAGAGGACTGTAGGTTCTGCTCTTACACTGAAAATTCTACTTAAGTACAATAAGAGAATCAACTGCTCCTAAATTCTTACAATATGGGGAGGCGACACACTGCAGTTGTCCAATGAAGACTAAGAGGCACTCTGTAAATGTCAGAGGAATTTTTCTTTCCAAGTTTCAGGACTTGGCCCTGGCACAGAAAGATGGCTTTGAGGGCCAAGAACCTGCTAAGACATTGGCACAAGGTGGGGGTGGGGGCCGTTTTTTTAAAAAGCACGCTTACCTAGAACAAGAGAGGTGGGGGGAGAATTGAGAGGGCAAGCAAAGGGAGTTTTTATGATAAGCTGCTGGATAGAAAGTGAGAGGGAAAATGAGGAGGCAGTTCTTGTATGGAAGAGGACAAACTGTACGTGATCTGTGGTTGAAACTTGTTTGCAGTTGGGGTGTGTGTGTGTGTGTCAGTGCTGGATTTCTAAGCCCCTTCCCTTCATTTGCAAATATAAAAGTTTAATAAACAACAACAATAGTAATAATAAGTGCATTATATATATTTGACTGCCAGGTAATTTGTGGCTTGCAACACTGCTTTTTGTCGTCTGAAGCCATGCGCTTTCACTTCCCATTTTCTACTCATGACAAATCTAAATCTAGATGATGTTTCTTCCACCTACCAGGCTGTGCCGATAGGCTGACTGACTCCACCCCAGCCTCACTCACTCACGCCCACAAGTGTACCTATTTTTATCTGTGGAATATGATTTTCCTTTTTATCTCAGATAATTAAATAATGTGTTATGCTGTTCACCTTAATTTGTGGTGTCTCCAGTCAAATGAGGCCAGGTAGTATGGCCTCTGAGACTCCAGAGAGTTTGTGATAACTAACGGAGGCAGAACGGGGCTAGATGGACGCATAATCCAACTGAGCAGCACCTTATATTTTTATGCAGTAAGTATCTTGCTTTGTTTCTCTTCAGTGTTTTGAGATATCGAAGTCCACCTCTCAATATGTTTCGAGGACAGATTCATGTCGGTCAAAGATGAAGGCAACAATTTTAGATTAAGAATACAGTGGATTATGTCCAGCACCAACTAACGTAGTTTTGCCGTCTGCCCTGTATATATTTTTAGCATTTGCAGCAGTGCTCTGGCAATCAGCGCTGACCTATAAGTCACTTGCCTTGATCTAAAGACAGAGTTGTACTCAAAAACCTGGCAATAGCCACACAACAGGAGCTGGGGAAGATAGCCAACTGGCAAGCTACCAACCAGGGGTCTGTGTACATGAGTGTATAGTGGTTAGAGTATTGGGCGAGGATTTCAGAGACCTGGTTTTAAATTTACACTCTGCCATGAAGCTCACTGGGTGAATCTGGGCAAGTCAGACTCAAACTCAACTACCTTACAGGGTTTGTTGTACTGATAAAATGGGGATGTAAAAAAACAAGTTTGAGCCAGCAAGAGCCAGTTTGGTGTAGTGGTTATGAGTGTGGACTCTAACCTGGGAGAACCGGGCAAGATTCCCCACTCCTCTACATGCAGCTGCTGGTGTGACCTTGGGCCAGTTACAAGTTATTTCAGAGCTGTTCTCTCACGAGCAGCTCTCGAAAGAGCTCTCTCAGCCCCACCTACCTCACAGGTTGTCTGTTGTGGGGAGGGGAAGGGAAAAGAGATTGTAAACTGGGTAGTGAAGGGTGGGGTATAAATCCAATCTCTTCTCTTCTTCTGTGTTCCCTCTTATTTTTTTCCCCCTACTGAGTGGAGCAGTTCACATCCTGAGCAGAATGTAACTGCTGTAATCTCCAAATGGGCAATGGGCAGTGCAAGACCCTGCGTGGCTCCGTGATTGCCACGGAGCAGGGCTTCCTGTGTTAATGAGTGGCCGCTCACACGCACAGTTTAGAGGGAACACTGGTAAGAACTATATATGTCACCCAGAGCAAGGACAGGATAAACAATGTACGAGATAGATTCAACTGTACATCCTGGTATCCTCATGGGGTTTGTAGCATTCTTCCTGGATCGGGAAGCATGTAAAACTTCCTTAAGTTACGACAGAGTCAAACCCTTGAGGCAAGAAGTCCAGTGTCATCTACTTTGAACGACAATGTTCAATCAGGCATAAGTCCCGCTTAGCCTTATCCACGCCTTCAGGTGGGAGCCTGTATACTGTTTCACAAGGGGTTTGGCCATTTGCACCCTTTATTTTGGGTGTTCCTGGAGTTCTTTATATCGAGAATCGAGAGAACACAAACTTGGGACTTTCTGAACACTGGCACGAAGGCAGTAAGCAGAAACTGTATTCGTTATTCTGAAATACCACAATGAGTCCGTTTTCTTGCAGAACAGTTTTACTCTGCATTACTGTATTTAGTATACACAGGAGGGTCTCCTGGAGGTAAACAAATAGACTGAAGACAGCACAGTAGAATATAACATCAGCAGAGTGGAGGAAAATGGAAGGAATAATAAAAAAGAAGTTGCTCCACCCTCAATGCTTACCAGTCTCTCAGTCCCAGGCTCCAACTTGATGTCAGTAGCACTGAGGGTGTGGGATGAGTCACCTAAGGTGGGTTCAGAGGGAGGTGCCTCGCCAAGGAGTATCAGGCCCTGAAAGGCACAGGGAAAGGGAAGTTAGCAGCACTTCATATGACAGGTCTTCGGAGGATGACTAAACCTTTTGCATGCCCCTCTGGCCTGCTCTGCTCCGCCCTGCATCTGCGAAGCCCACAGACCTCACTGATTCTCCACTTTCTTCTTGTAATCAAGTCTCCCTTATTCACTGTAGTATGATTGCTATCTCTCTCTCTCTCTCTCAACAAAATATGGTAACTTGCAAAGACAAACCTTGTTGCTCCACTCAGAAAACTCAGAAAAGATGGAGAGAAATTTCCTTTTACTTCTCCTAAGACAGGCAACATTTGCTCAGTTGGTCAATACGTTCAATATATTGTGTTTGTGATCCACAACGGTGACATAACCTTAATACAGTGTTAGTTGTATTTTAAGAGGCAATCTTTTTTTTTTTGAGCCCCCGGATGGGATTTTTTAATTATTTTTTTTCAAACTACAAAAACTATCACAGAAAAAGGGAAGGGGGACTACATATACGGGACAAAGTATAGAAACCCACTACTGACTAAAAACCCAAGAGAGGAGATCCTCACTAGCTTCATTACATCAAGTCTTCACGAGGCAATCATTTTCTTGAGGTGAGGGGGAAGGGAGGAATGTGGTTTCATTGTGTTTTGTATGTTTTTGGACCCTGCAATTGTAAGGTGGGATGAGCTACAAGGAAAAGACGGGGAATACTTTAAAATGTTCATCTTTTCAATTAAAACCACCATAGGATTCTTTCTAACAATAAGGACTACAAACAACTGAAGCAGAGTGTGCTGAGCTGAAATCAGTGTCAAAGCATCTTTTAAAACTGGTTCATCCACAACTCTTGTGTCACTTGAACTTGTACATTCTGAGGACACTTTTGCTTTAATCCATTATGGTAATAGGAGTATTCTACATTCCAGATTAAAGAATGGCCTTTCCTTCCAAGAGCAATAGCTTTTATTAAATGTTATGTTCTCACACACAAGAAGTTTTCAATCACTAGGAACTGTATTTTTAAAAGTGACAACACTTAACCAGCTTAACAGCCTTTAGCTGGTAGGTTTCTGAAGCATTTTCCAGTGCAATCTTACGCGGGTTTACTCAGAATATAGTCTATTCAATGGGTTTTATTTCAAAGAAAAATCTTAGGACAGCAGTGTCCCTCTCTCTTTTAGACTGGAGGAGAGAGAGATCTTTCCTGATAAAGTAGACCATGATATGGTTATGGCCTTGGTGTATATATAAACCAATGCATCCCAGTGAGCACAAAAATGAAAACGGGGGCATTTTTAAACCTCTCACTAAATCCTCAGAGGTTTACCAACTAGCAGCTAGCATTCTAGCCAGACAGCAACACAAACCCATGTGTGCAACTATGTGAGAGTTTCTAGAGCACTGCGTATGTTCAAAATTCCATTTGTTCTACAACCCTGCAAGACGAACCCACCAATATTTCCCTTTGTATACACAGCAGAATTGAGACTAAGGTAGCTGATCCTTGCCAGTGAGGATAAACTATGCAAGTGAGGATAAATCTATGCTTCACTGGCATGATTAAAATCTGTGCGATAAAATAGCAACCACACTGAAAGATTGGGGGGGGGGGTGATCGCAGAACATAGCTAGCAGATCTGCCCTTCTCTTTTTAAAGCAGAAGAATATGTAATGTCCAGGTTTTCTAATCGAATGTTTATACCGCAGAAAGTGCAAGACAGGAGAAAAAAACAACAGCAGGTTCTTTTTCTAGCAAAATCACAGCCAAGAGCCATCACAGAGAATGAATTCCACACAATAGATCACCCACCCCTCTCCCAATTCAACAGAGGAGTTATACTCCAGAACAAGATAAAAGTGTAACAAATGTAAACTGGTGATCTTTCAGTATACAGTGTGGTAGTATATCTGGGAATATATTTTCAAACGCAAAAGAAATCTTAGTAGTCCAAAATCCTCTTTGGCAGAGGATGTTTTCATCTCCCCTCTTCCTGTTCTGAGCTCGGTTTACAACTGATTTGCAACCAGTCATGCTAGATGAACACACACACATACTGAATATTTCACCAAAGCAACATTTCCTGCTTTTGTTCCCAGCTTGGTTCCAGTTCTTCTGCCAGTTAGATAAAGTCATGAAAACTGGAAAAGAATTGTTACCAGTCACAATCTATCAGGACTTTTCTTTCTTGGAGTGTCTCCCACCATACCACACCACACCCCCTCTGGTTGTGCAAAAGGCATACTTTCTATGGCAGGGACAGTCACAGATCAAATTTCAAGCCTCCGGTTAACAGGACTGGAGTGGATTTCGCAAAGCAGTGGTTCTGTGACAAAGGGACAGCTGGAGGTCTCTACAGCCCATCTCCCTGATTATGGGTTTTAAGGGCTGGGTTTTGTTTTGTTTTTGTATTCCACGGGAACCAGGACACTTCTGTTCTAAGTCATGTAAGACACGCAGTTGTTTCGGTAGACTTAAAATACTGGAAAACCACATACAAGCATTCTCTCTCAGCCCCTGTGACACTGAATAAAGTGAAGTGAGCTGTGTCTTGCATGTTTTTTGGATGTTGCAAGAGGCGGTTCTAAATGCCAAGGGTGCAGCTACATTTGCACTGGGGCTGCCACATGCAGTAAAGTTTCGTAAAAAAAAAAGGAGGAGGAGGAGGAGGAAAAGAAGGTAATCTATACTTGTTGGAATCTACCCCCCACTCCACTCTATAACTGTACAAAAGGAGGCAGGGTGGATGACCTCGGAACACACCAGGACAAGTTTCACTTTCAACCTGCAATTTAAACTCCCCAGGACATAGGACACCTTTCCTTTTTCAACACTTGCTTTCCTCCAAACTGGAAAAAGATAAATTACTTTTCAGACGGCGTTGTTTGCCTGGGTCACAAATATTATGGTAGTCTACTACTTATTTTTCCCACTCTGACATGAAATCAATAGCAGCAGGTGGAAAATTGTTTGGGGGTGTTTGTGTGTGTGCGTGGAAGGTCTATATATGTTATAAGACTGTTCTTCATGTTTAACCAACCATCCCATGATGTCAACATTGATCCCTTCTGTTATTCTCGTTCCTCCATTTTCTGCATTGTAGCAAGAAAACAGTGACAATGTTATCTGTATATGCTAGGTTTGATATTTCCAGGGGTCATTTCCTGCAGGAGCGTACAGGCGTGGAGCTCTGGCAGTAAAGAGCCCAGGGGGCGGGCACATGCAACAAGCCCCACCCCCTGCTCCCAGCAGCCCTCAGTCAGAGCAAGAAGCAGCCAGGTAAGTTGCAGAGCCCGCCCTGTCCAAAACAGTCCAGTGGCACCTTTAAGACCAGGTTCTGTTCGGGTACAAGCTCTCCCTCCTCTGTGAGGGCAGATCTGCATGTCCCCCCCCACCAATAGCTAGCAATCCAAAACAGTCCAGTGGAGCCTGAGCGGTGGGTGTTGCCTTCTGACACACTTCCAGTGATGTCAGGGGGTGTGGCATATGCAAATAAGTTATGCTAATGAGCTCCTGCACCTCTTTTTCTACAAAATGACCCCTGGATATTTCCTTTTTCATTTGCATTTAAAGTATTACAAAAGGCACTTACTTTGCTTCCCTACCCCCCTTTCAAAGAATCCATCACTCAAAGGTGAGGGGGGGGGCACAGATGAACAAGCCTTTGGGACAGCCTTAGTAAGGCTCTGTCAGTTCTATTCTGACAATACTAACCGCACAACATTCCAACTTGTTCTCTCAAACATGGAACTTTTTATTCTATGTGATGATGAGTCTCAAGAAGAAGCAAGTTCTGCTCTCAGAGATTTGGAGAGGGTGGTATCTCCTCCCAATATTGCTCTTTGGATCAGCTAAAACAGTTCACTTACTCTAGCCAAGTTTTGCCTGCTGCATTTCCATTCAGCTTCCAGCATGCTGATTTTCACTGACGCAGACAAGTTTAGGGGTCATTTCGTAGAAAAAGAGGTCCATTAGCATACCTATAACTCATTAACATATGCCACGCCTCCTGACATCACCGGAAGTGTGTCAGAAGGGGAAGCAAAAAGGGGGGGGGAGAGGCATCTTCAAAAGCCTCCCCTTTCCCAGCAGGCCTGCCAAGGCGGGGGGGGAAGGCAAAGAGAGAAGGGATTAAAAGGAAGGGGAGGCGGGCAATCATGCCTGGCTTCCCTGCTCAATCTTCTCCAGGTGCCCCGCGCCTGCGGGGCACCTGGAGAAGATTGGGCAGGGAAGCCAGGCATTTAATTCCCCCCTTTGGGGGGCAGGGCCTGGGCTCTTTACTGCCAGAGCGCTGCTCCAGGGAGCTCCAGCAGGAAATGACCCCTACAGACAACTACCTTTGCCACTCCACTTATCAAGGGAAAAGCCAAAGCTCACAGGTAGAGCTCACACTGCATGAAGGCTTCAAGATCAGTCCACGATATCTCTTGTTAAAGGAGCTCAGAAAGGCCGGGGGGCGGGGGGGAATACTGCACAAGACCTTGGAGGCTGGAGAGCAGTGTTAGATGGACTGATGGGGTGGGACCAAACATCTTTTCTACAAGTGAAAAAGGAAGTGTCCCCTCTGATCACTTCAAAATATTATGCTGAGGATCACAGTATTTTCTTGAGACGGGGCCATAAGAAGCGGAGGAATTGGATGAGATCTACCAAGTAAGTTGGCTGGATCCAACCATGGTCTGTCCAAAATAAGGCAACTTGAGGTATGCATATATACCAGCTACTCTCAGAAACAGGATCCAGCACCACTGGACTCCTCTGGACAAAGTGAGAGGCACGGGAACAAAACCATTGGGTACATTGTAAATATCCCAACTGAATGATTAAAACCTGAATCCTCCTCTATGACCACGTTTTGTCACAATTCTTAGCTCATATATAACAATTCTGTGATATAGATTATGCCCTCAACTGATCACTGTATTAGGGGCAAACAGAGACCGGGGCATGTAGTTTTCTGATGCTATCTTTTTCCATTGAAAAATTTCCATCTCCATTTGTGTAAATACAGTTTGTCATCTATAGTCAAAGAGTGTTGTGCTGCGAGTCAATCATGTTATATGGGCTAAATGTGAGATATGAAGCATGGACAAACTCCAGTGCCAGTATATCATTCAGAAGCTTGTACACGATGTACTTGAGTTCTTTTTGTTGACATTGTTTAAATATTTTATTTATTTAAATGTATACCAGAAGATTTTCCAATTCAAATTTCCCACCAAAACCCATATCATTGGGGGTGGAGAAAATTTTGGTCCTGAATCAGATTTAGACAGAAACAATGCAATTCTTTCCCCAGCCAATCCAAATAGTTCTCTTCGGTCCGGGTCTGGAAAAATACTACCTTGACTCTTAAGACGACTGGCAACTGTCTCACACTTGCCGAAACATTCAACTCTATAGGGTCTACAAGTACTGCCAATATGCAGAACTGGAAGGGATCTGTACACACTGCTCTAGTGAACACCCTCATTTCTCTGCTTTTCACTTCGCAATAGATCACCTTCTCCAGTTCCTGAGTCTGAGCTTTCATCCACACAAATCTCTCTCTCTATGTAACAGACTTCTCCACCCCTTATTCAGCAAACTGTTGAGTTCTTTAGAAACAATTCTCAAGCCTCCCCCAGTTATCTTACGATTTACCAATTCCGCATTAATACTAAGTAAGCCTCCTCTCTGCTGTCTCCACAAATGGTTCTCATATACCTGCTTTTCTCCTTTCACTGTCGATGGTCAGGAGATCCACAAGTTCACACTGAGTTCTTTCAGAACTCTCGGATGTATGCCATCCAGGCCTGGTGATTTCTTAGTTTTTAAGTTGTCTATCAGTCGTAGGACCTCCTCTCTCGTCACCTCAATCTGACTCAGGTCTTTCAACACCCCTCCTGAATCAGCGGTTCTGGAGTGGGCAAGCACTTCTCATCTTCCACAGTGAAAACAGAGACAAAAAATGCATCCAACTTTTTCAGCCATTTCCCTATCATCCTTCAGAACTCCTTTTACCCATTGGTCATCCAAGGGCCCCACTGCCTCCCTGGCTGGTTTCCTGCTTCTAATGTATTTGAAGAAAGTTCTATTGCTGGTCCTTATGTTTTTTGCTATATGCTCCTCATATTCCCTTTTTGCCTGCCTTGATCACAGACTTGCATTTTATTTGCCGCAGCCTTTGTTCCCTTTTATCAACCTCACTGAGACTAGCTTTCCACCACTTAAAAGAATCCTTCTTACCTTTTACAGCTTCCATTACTTTGTTTGTTAACCATGCAGGCTTTTTTCTATACCTATCTGTGCCTTTCCTAACCTGCGGTATATATTTTTTCTGAGCTTCTAGGAATGTAGTTTTAAATAGCTTCCAAACTTCCCCAGTGGTTTTGACTCCTGCCAACCTAGCAGTTTGAAAGCAAGAAATTGCAAGTAGATAAATAGCACAAATCCAACAAGAAGCAAAAAAGGAGAAGGCAGGAAGTAGCGAGGGACAGGAGTAAACTCTAAGGAAGACAGTGAGGTAGAAGAGGGGGGGGGGCTTCACTCTGCATCTCAATTTCCCAATGGTTGGAAGCAAGCAAGTCCTCTTTCTGAATTATAAACATCTTCTCCACTGCGAATGTCAATGTTCCTTACAGCTCCTGCGTCCAATTCCATGCATATTTATAAGAAACCAAGGCTTGCTGAACTCAAAAGGACAGCCTCAAAGCAAATATCCAAATGTACTGACCATATAGAGATAATCTGGATGGGACATATTACTAGCGTGCAGGAAGAAATCTGAGAAACAGGGGAGGGAGCTCACCCTATAAGAAATTACAGAGACCAAAGGCAGAGTGGTTTGAAGGACAGAAAGTGTTCCATTTGGAAATCAATAGTGCAAGCAGGTCTATGCATGTTAAAGGCTTTTTTAAAAAAGTACCCTTAAAGGCTCAAAAGAATAAAAATCAAAACTGCACTTAAAACACAGTGCTCCCTCCCAAGTTCTAACCAACAGATGCCGATCAACTGATTATTACTTTACTATGGCCAAATATTCGTCTTTATTCCCCCCCCCTTTCCAAAAAGAAGAAGAGGAGAAGAGATTGGATTTATACCCCACCCTTCAATCGGAGTCACGGAGCGGCTTACAACATCCTTTCCTTTCCCCTCCCCACGACAGACACCATGTGAGGTAGGTGGGGCTGAGAGAGCTCTTGACAGAAACTGCTCTTTCAAGAACAGCTCTGACAGAACCATGGCTTGCCCAAGGTCATCCAGCAGGTGCAAGTGGAGGAGTGGGGAATCAAACCCAGTTCTCCCAGATTAGAGTCCGCGCACTTAACCACTACACCAAACTGACTCTCAAAGCTCAGGAATGTGTATGTGATTCACACCCCTCATTTTTATCCTCACAACAACTGCACAAGATAGTTTATCAGCCAGTGAGCCTATTAATGGCAGAGAGGCACAGCAAAATTTTGACTGAGCAGCTGCTGCTGCTGCAGGAATCTCCAAGAAGACTTTCATTGAACAGTTTTCTGTTACGGTGCTTTATTTATGTATTGCTTTTGTTAGTCTGTAGTCTGACCTTGGTGTTCCACGATAAAAGCCAAGGAGATGAACCATTCAGAGAACTGCTCACGTTTTATAGGAACCTGACCTAACAGTGTTACAACATATCATTCAATTTCTTTAACTGCAGAAAAATGAAATTAACTTTTAATCAGTGAGGATTAATCTTGATGATTAAGCTACCTTTTTGTTGTTCTGAGTAAAAAGTGAACATTTCAAAAATACTTGACCAATATTTGACAATATTTGAACATTCAAATGATCAAATTTCTTTTTGATCAGTTGATGTCCAGCCCTAATCTGTCCCTCTATATGTAAGAAGACATAAATATTCAGGAACATGCACAACATGTTTAGTGAGAAATCAGACCTACGAGCATACATCTGTAGGCCCCGCTCTCCTGATTCGTCCTCTACAAAAATGGTTAGATCTGCTTGTATACAGCTATATATATGTAGCACTAAGAGGTTATGCCGACGACTCCACAAGTGGAAGGAGGTAACAAAGCTTGCTTGTTGCATGTAGAGCATTCACAGCCAGACAGTGCTGGATTCAACCTTCCAAATAATGCATTATCTATTTCCACTTCCCTAGCTCCTGTATTCAAATTGGGGAAACAGTTGGGGGCAATAAAGAGAGAGAGTAAAGAACATGGAGATTTTCTCACACTTTTTCTCTCCAAAACCTCAGTCAGAACTATACTTTTGATGCAAATGTGAATTTTTTTCATGCCACCTCATTTGGTAATCACCATTTAGCAACTGAAGATGCGTCTGGGATGAAATGTCTGGTTGTGCATAAGTTCCTCCATGCAATGTCCCAGCTCATTTATTTTTTATTTAGTATTTTCTTTTATTGCTGCCTCTCCATGGATCTTGTCCGAGGCAGGTCACAAAACAGAATAAAACCCCAGGCAGAGCATAAAAACATAAATCACTGAGCAACTTAAAATGAATTTAAGAGTTCTCTAGCCAGTTTGGTGTAGTGGTTAAGTGCGCGGACTCTAATCTGGGAGAATGGGGTTTGATTCCCCACTCCTCCACTTGCAGCTGCTGGATGACCTTGGGCAAGCCATAGTTCTGGTACAGCTGTTCTTGAAAAAAGAGCAGTTTCTGTCAGAGCTCTCTCAGCCCCGCCTACCTCACAGGGTGTCTGTTGTAGGGAGGGGAAGAGAAGGGTGTTTGTAAGCCGCTCTGAGACTCCCTTGGGTAGTGAAGGGCCGGTATAAATCCAAGCTCCTCCTCCTCCTCCTCAAAGCACACTGTAAAATTGGTGTCAAAAGATCAACCCCTTCATTAAAAGAAGACATTTTGGCCTGGCACCTAAAAGAGAGTTGTGCAGGTGCAGGTGCAGGTGCCTGGAGAGCCTCAAGGGAAAACGCATTATTACAGCAAGGTGCCATTACCGAAAAAGCCCTGCGTCTGTTTGCTATCAGCCATGCCTCGGATGGCGGGGTTTGAGAAGACCTTAGCAGGTGGGGTGGACAGTATGGGACGAGACAGTTCTTCAAGTATCTGACCTCAAGGATTGGGCATAGAAATCCTCTGTGTGGTGCGAATTGGTCTACTGATTCTCAATGAACACTATCTCACCTACTATGTACTTTAAGAACACAAAAGGTAAATATTTACTGGTCAGAAAGTGATAACTGCTTAGGGGAGAAATTTGGTCTCAAGCGATGAAATTGCTTCTAATGCTGCCGACTTGCAGTGCCTCTAACAAGATATATGCATAGTCCTGGCAACAGAGAGGATCAGTCACATCGAGCTATAAAAATCCTGACCCAAGCATGCACCAACCCACACCTACACCTCTGCCTGCTCCTTATGATACAGAAGATATTTTGGGAAGGCATTTGGGGCAGCACTGGCTGGAAGGCCTCTACTTCCTTACCTTGTTCGCTCGAATCTGCTTGTAAATATCTGTTTGCTGCCGGATTCGGTACTCCAGATCCGAGACATGTGCCTGAAGCCAGTTCCAGCGACTCACAATGGCTGCTCTGTCTGCTGCCCATCGCCATTCTGACCGCCGCCTCCTGAAAAATGAGAAAGGATTTTGTAAAAATGACAGGAACACATAGCTTCAATCTGAGAGCCACTCATATTCCCACATAGACTTTGTGTTTCTCAACCAAAAGAGAAATATTCCCTCTACCACAAAATCATCCACACAATCAACAACAGAATAATACAAACCTAAAAAATACAATGGGTCACGCCACTCAGCCCCATAACAAGACACTTACTTAGAAAGCAAAACAAACACCTCAATATTTCAGTGCTTCACTAGCCAATTTACCAGAGGTTTTTCCTACAAATATCCCTATATAACTATTATTTTGGTCAACTCACAATAGAAAGTGTGATCATTGTTCCCTTTTAGACTTCTACAAAATAATATGTCTTCTAGAGAACCAACATCCCTGAAGAAGTAAGGATAGGCCTAGATTTATTTTAATCTTTGATCTTAATATTAACTTTTACCATTTCAGAATTTTAATTTTTTTTTTAGATTCCTGTGGATAATTTTAGATGTTATTTCATTTTATAATTTTACTGGGTTTTTTAAACCTGTTATTTACTTGTCTCTTACTGTATTGTTTGCTGATGTAAGGCTGCGGTCACACGGAGCATTAGCCACGCTACAGAAACGGAAGATAGGCGGATTTTCCGGGTGCGATCAAACCGCAACATCTGGGAAGTGTAGAGCTCCCGTGGCTAACCCGAGGCTTCCCACTGAAGATGCGCCGTAAAAAACTAGTACCTCCGAGGTACTAGTTTCCTGAAACCGCGGGGCAAGGGCGGGCGTCTGATCGCGTTTCCGGTGGTAGCTCGTGGCATCCGGCCGGCCGCCCATGTCCCGTCGCGAAAAAGTTTTGTTTTTCAAGTCTCCATGAGATGCGCACAAGCACACAACGGCGCATGCGCACACTTCAGTTACAAAAAAAACCACAACTCCCGCCGCGCCGCTTCTTTGCTGCGCCGCAGGATTGACGTATCGGCCCCTCTCCTCGAACCATGGGACGTCAGCAGGATGTTTGATCTGGTGGCCGCGTGGTAGTTCACTCCGGGGCAAACAGCCACGCCGCCGCCCCCCCCGGCGATATCTATGACCGTAATTATATATATGCATATGGCCTATGACCGTAATTATAAATTGATTGCTTGATCTGCAAGACAGGTTAAGCAATTTTAAAAAAAATATCCCTGAAACCTTTCCTCAAATGGCAATAACCCCCCTGAACTACAAAACAACCAAACAGAAATGCGGAACACACTTTCTTCCCAGACATACCCTAAGGGATGCAGTGCTTTCATCTTTTACCTGATAAGATCAAGTAGCCAAGTCTGATTGGCTACAAACTATTATGACACTGCTATGTGATCCCCAATTGGCTGGGATGACAGCTGGCAAGAGATGCACTTTGGAAAAACAAACAACAGAGATGGCACCAAAAGGAAATGTTGAGAGGGGCGGTGAATAGGTTCCAACAAGCATTTAGGGAGTTTTCAGAGAACAGACTGGGAAGGCCTAAAAGCACCTCCTCCTCAGCATGCCAGAACATTTGATGAAGAACATTTAGTAGAGCACTAATTAATGAGTTCATGTTTAATTGTTTCCCACAGTCCCTAAATCACTGTACTAAGACTACCCACTGTATTGCACCAAATACCGACCGGACTTTAAAGAAAAAAACGTGAAGGACAAACTGCAAACCGGGGGGGGGGGGGGGGGGGGAGAGAGAGAGTGAGACTTGCACAAAAGCAAGGTGGCGGCACATTAAGCCTGGCTGGGCACAGTTTAAGCTAGAACATCCACAGAATTAGCTTGCCTCCAGCCAAAACAGCGGTTTGTTTTGTAGAAGAAAGTCATGAATACCTCAACCTGTGTTGCAATCAAGATGCCCTTTTCTCCAATGACTCAGCCAGGTGCACTGTCAGTGCTACCAGCAGCATACTAGCTTGTTCCCTGTCCAGTCAAATAAATCAAAGCTGGTGGAGGACTGGCGATCAAGTCTTTCCACCTCAAGATTTACACAGAAAAGTAAGTCAGTCTGCTAGGGAAAAGAAGAAATTCAGCACAGTATTGGGGGGGGAGGGGAGAGACTAATACACCAAGGTTTGGGAGCTATATCTTGCGATTATTTGTGTTACGCCAAGTACACCCGGTATTTTATGAAAAATTTTTAAAAATGCAGAGGAGGGGAGCAAAAGAAAACAAGGAATGAGAGCATAACACATACACTGACATTGTACACTAGAGACTCACCCCCCAAGATACCAGGTTCCATATACTATGTTACCATCAGAAAAAAATCTTCAAAACTTTTGATGGTTGTTTACAGACATTGACAGAACAATGAAAATCTGTTTCCTAAGGGAGCAACCCCCCACACATGCACACATTTCCACATGTGCTCCCCCTCCCCATGCAGATCTTCTGAGACTGGTATTATGATAATTGGGGTTAACTATATACTGAAATAAAGCCTTCCTGGTACTGGTGTCATAATTATGAAACTCTGAATACAAGGCCTGCCTAGATGAGTCACCTGGAAGCTTCCAGAGAATGGTGCAAACATCTTTTATGCCAAAAAACTTAAGGCACAGCATGAAACACCATTTTATTGTGCTGATCTTACGCCGTTTTTATGATTGTGGTGATTTCATTGGGGGTGGGGGATAAACACCTATAGTGTTTATCATGCTTGGAAAAGAAAGACAGACGTCGAAAAAGAATGTGATCAAAAAAAGGAGAGCCAATCAAATGCAGACTTTGTCCAGCAGATGCTGTTCATCAAGATGCAGGATCAAAACAAAAAGACAGAAGCTTTCATGACCCTAACTGAAAACTGACATATTTTTATGACTCATAAAAACAAAGAAGCAATAGCATTTAGTAGTTTCTAGTACAGACTTATTTTCAACCAACGTACTTTTTTCAAACCACTACTAATGTTCTGAAATTACTACCAAATAAATCTCTCTTCAATTATTTCTAGCACATCCCTTTGCTCTTTATAAGAATACTGGATTGCCTTGTAGCCAGCCAGACATATTGCTTGTCTCAACAATAGTCATCAAAGAAATGGCTTGTGAACTGGCAACTCCGGGATTCCCTGGGTCACAGAAACTGGCCAAACACTATCCCCAGTTCCCATTTAGAGACACCAGGGATTAAACCCAGGGTGCTGCATAAGTAGAATACATACACTACTATCAATTTAGAGCATCTCCACTATATTAGGATCATGCTGTATTTTTATAAATACCGATTTATTGACTCAGCATTGTTTTAAATATTTGCTTTAAGATACAAATTATGGCAGCCATAGGGTTATTATCTCCAATGGCAGTCAAAATCTCTGGGAATCACAGCTCTACTACAAAATGAAAGAAAAATTCCTATTCATAATATTAAATTACAGATGAGCTTTTCCACACCATTTAAGGAATGTGACATCTAAGACTGGATCTGCACATGCAGAAGAAAGAGATGAGGAGGCAGAGGATTCCTGAGATGGAAGAATGGAAGATTATATTTTCCATAAAGTTCCTTTCCCTTCAGAATGCATGAGGAACAAGCATGAAATGGTTAATGTCTCTTCGGTCAGAAGGCAAAGCCAGGAAAGGGGGGGGGGGGAGAGAGAGAGAAACAACCCTCATCTGTGTTCTGGAACTTGAGTTCAGCTACAGGAAAAAACAAAAACAGTAGATTCACGAACTAAGTGGATTACATGACTTCCACTCCTGAAGAACTGAAAAATGGGAGAATGCAACAGACCAGCAATGAACTGAGACAACACACTGAAACACAGGGTGAGGGTGGTGGTAATTTCCAAAGTCATCCCTAATTTGCAACTCATGCAACTGAGTTTTCCTGCTTGCTTACCATCAAAGATGAGCATTCAGATATATCCAGTCCATATATATATATATATATAAATATATAAATATCATATCGGTAATTTCAGGATATATTCAAGTCACTGGACGGTACCCAGGATTTTGGGGGATACTGGGAAATGGGTCCCCTCAAATCCCAGAAATAATCTGTAATAACCAGAAATGCTGGCATTTTAAGGCTCCCATGAATGTTTGTTCTTTATTTATCTGGTGTGCCTTTGTCTTCCCAGGGCTTGGTAGCAGTTTGCCCTGTTAGTTTCACTTTGATTCTGTCCGTTTAAATTGGTTTTGTTGGTCTTGCAACATTGTCTTCTTTGTGCTAGCCCCTTCTTGTTGGGGTGGCTTTTTACAATGGAGTCTGGGCTTCCACATGGCCTTTGATTCTCAGGTTGTATATTGGCTCATGTTCTCAGAGTTTACATTTGTTGTACTTGCAACAGTGGTCCTATTTGGTTTAGTTTAGATGATTCTCTAGTTTAACATTGGGTTGGCTTCTCAGGTTGTACATTTGCTGTGTTGCACTTGCCACATTTTCCCTCAGTTCAGCCAGGACTCTCTGGTTCTGTATTGGTACCTTTGGGTTGTTGGTTCTGTTTGCTTAGAGAGGATTTTTGGCAAGGGTTGCTTTCCTGGCTCTTGTGTCTGGCTATTCTTTGCCCTGGAGAAAGCATGAACCACCACTACCACCCGCAGGGGAAAAAAGTTAGAAAACCAGGAACACCTATGTTTTTCTGCTCCCTGATATCCAGATCTGAAAAATACCAGTTTTTTTCCAAGCTGCGTGGCCCTGGTTAGCTCTTGGATGGGAGACCACCAAGGAAATCCAGGATCAATATGCAGAGCCAGGCAATGGCAAACCACCTCTGAATATCTCTTGCCATGAAAACCCCACAGGGTTGTTGTAAGTTGGTTGTGACTTCCAAATGACCTCTAAAGCATCCTATCATTATCGGCCTTGCTCAGGGTCTTGCCAGCTGTGGGCTGTGGCTTCCTTGGATGAGTTTTTCCCTGCTGCCTTCAGCTTTTCCTAGCATTATCGTACTTGAAGGGCTGTCCTAGAGAGGGTGGTACAGAGTTGTTTTCTGTTGCCCCAGAAGGTCAGACCAGAACCAATGGGTTGAAATTCAAT